TGTTCTGGCGAGCTCCTGGACTTCCAGCCCGAGCAGCGTGAGAACTGTTGCGGCTTTTCGGGCGCTTGAGGTGATATCTGAGGCTAGCATGTAGCATTCGCAGCCTCTGAGCCATCTTGCGAAGTCTTGGCCAGCCTCATAGGGCGGGGGCGTGGGCAAACCGTGCGATTGAGCCATTTCAATCAAGATAAGCGCGGGCGGCAGACGCGACAATTACGTTAGCTGCACGGTCGAGCGGGGCAGTTAAAATTGGTGGCGGCGGCTGAGCATACAGGCGCTGTGCAATCGATAAAAAAAGACTAAGCAAAACTAAGCGGGCTTGGCACTAAGCAAAAAGCGGCACGAGTCGACTCCATCTCGTCCTCGTCGTCACTTGTTCCGTCTGTACACTGTATTTAGACCTTGGAACAAACAAGTAAATACAACACGGCCCGACTCTCCGCGGCCCCCGGCTCCGACTCCGGCCGACGCCGTTTCCGGCGGTAAGCAAGAATTCCTCAGCGCGCACGTGCACTCACGGCCGAGGTGACCTCCAGCCCAGTGTTCCGCGCAGCGACGGTATAGCACGGCGCTACTAATAGCCACTACTGAATAGCACGGCGCTACTAATAGCCACTACTGAACAAAACCCCATGTTAAAAGTGATCTATTTCCTTTAATAGGAAGAGATTGTGGAAGAACAACACATTTCTCTTGGAAATTACTCATCCGCCTTCTCCCTACGTGCCTGCTTTAGTAATCGAAGTACCCCTATTGACTCTACGTTCTTGATTCGGCTGTCGATTTTATGCATGGAATTCCGCTATATTATATTTTCTCGCTCAATGTCCCCTGAGCTATATTGAGGCGTCACGGGACAGCAATGCTCAGCACACAACTGCAGAGAAAAAGTCAATGTGGCCATGCGTTTTGTATGCCAAAATGTGTGAGCCTTGGCGTGTACCAGCAGCCGTTGTCACCATTGTAATTTTCACGACTTTATCTTTATAAGGATGCAATTGCCCACTTCCCAGTTCCCAGACTGGGTTTGGAGATATAGTTTTACAGAAACATTAAGGAATGTCTGTAATGTAAGTTAAAAGCTAATACCGAAAGGAATCCACATATTTTCGAATTTCCTGTTTGCTGTATTGCTTAGTAAATGTCAGACGTCATGATGGCATGGTTGCGATTGATGGTATGCCGGATGGCCAGGGTACGAACTCACGGTAAGTCAGCTTGGTCGGCAGGCATCAACAGGCACAATAGTCTTACACTGATATCGTCACCCTCAGTTATTCGTCACCATTCAGCAGCAGGCCCAGAGCTTCGGGCTTTGAACCGTAAGGTACAGGTGTAGGAGCAAGACATTGCGCCGATTCGAAGGGCTGGAAGGGCAGCATCGCGGGGGCTGGAATGTGCCTGAGCGGCTGAGACCATCCCATTGGGACGGGGGTGTTCTGGGTGCACTCAGCCGCTCATGCTGGGAAATGCATCCAATGGAGCTCTCCATTCGAATGATTAGGGTGACCTTTAGTCTAGAACAAGGAAGGATGACTGTTGGCTGGTCCCGAGGATAGATACAAAGGACAGGTAACGACATCATATAATGAATCGAAGACGGCCCGGCCCGATCCTCTGATAGAGGTTCATCAACACGTATCTCGTTGTGGACCATTTCGTTTTCCTCCACCGAAGTTTTTGCACCGACCTGAACGGGTTGGAAGGTAACGATGTTCAGAAACCATTAAGATCGTAATTGTATATTTGTTGTATATTCGTTCACTGAGCAGGTAGGACAGGTTCAACACAGTGAAAACCTCATCCTATCATCCAATAATTATAAAGTAGTCTTCATGGAATGGAAAGGCTAACCTAACTCAACGAATATACAATTACGACCTTAATGGTTTCTGAACATCGTAATCTTCCAACCCGTTGAGGTCGGTGCAAAAACCACGGTGGAGGAAAACGAAATGGTCCACAACGAGATACGTGTTGATGAGCCTCTATCAGAGGATCGGGCCGGGGCCGTCTTCGATTCATTATATGATGTCATTACCTGTCCTTTGTATCTATCCTCGGGACCAGCCAACAGTCATCCTTCCTTGTTCTAGACTAAAGGTCACCCTAATCATTCGAATGGAGAGCTCCATTGGATGCATTTCCCAGCATGAGCGGCTGAGTGCACCCAGAACACCCCCGTCCCAATGGGATGGTCTCAGCCGCTCAGGCACATTCCAGCCCCCGCGATGCTGCCCTTCCAGCCCTTCGAATCGGCGCAATGTCTTGCTCCTACACATGTACCTTACGGTTCAAAGCCCGAAGCTCTGGGCCTGCTGCTGAATGGTGACGAATAACTGAGGGTGACGATATCAGTGTAAAACTATTGTGCCTGTTGATGCCTGCCGGCCAAGCTGACTTACCGTGAGTTCGTACCCTGGCCATCCGGCATACCATCAATCGCAACCATGCCATCATGACGTCTGACATTTACTAAGCAATACAGCAAACAGGAAATTCGAAAATATGTGGATTCCTTTCGGTATTATCTTTTAACTTACATTACAGACATTCCTTAATGTTTCTGTAAAACTATATCTCCAAACCCAGTCTGGGAACTGGGAAGTGGGCAATTGCATCCTTATAAAGATAAAGTCGTGAAAATTACAATGGTGACAACGGCTGCTGGTACACGCCAAGGCTCACACATTTTGGCATACAAAACGCATGGCCACATTGACTTTTTCTCTGCAGTTGTGTGCTGAGCATTGCTGTCCCGTGACGCCTCAATATAGCTCAGGGGACATTGAGCGAGAAAATATAATATAGCGGAATTCCATGCATAAAATCGACAGCCGAATCAAGAACGTAGAGTCAATAGGGGTACTTCGATTACTAAAGCAGGCACGTAGGGAGAAGGCGGATGAGTAATTTCCAAGAGAAATGTGTTGTTCTTCCACAATCTCTTCCTATTAAAGGAGGCATTAACCAAAACACCCCCTTCTCCATATGTGCCGACAACCTGCATGTCAATGTTCTATGCAGTTTGTGCGATATTCTTGCTCAATAATGAGCTGCGGGGCAGAAAGCTTCTTAGGAAAGCTTAGAATAATCACTTCGACCCGTCAGTGAACGCTAAAACACGGCTGACCGGGAACGCGGCGGCACGGCGCCAGCCGCCGCGTGGTGCTAGTGTGCGCGTAACTAACGGGGAGACTTCAACGCCTGGCGCCGTCCCGACAGGCTTCCGTTCAACCGCTCGCAGCAGGCTAGGTTTTCGTCCCAGATTTTTTTTATTGGTATCCTACGGCTTCAAACATGCCAGGGACCAATAAAATTTAGTAGTGAAGACGATTAAAAAAAATCAAAATTTGACGATACACCCTACTGTGTGGGTCTCCAGCCGTCAGTTGTTACGCCATACTGTTTCGCCGAGCAGAATCTAGCTATGAGTCGCGACACTTCCCTGGCCCTGACCTATCGCTCGCTGCCCCGCCAGGTTCCGACGCCGGTCAGTGGTTCCTGGACCTGAAGAATGGCTCTGGTTCGTGCGGCCGCGGACCGGCCACCTCTCCTGACTCCACCTTCAAAATGAGCAGCGACGACTTCCTGAAAATGTTCTCCGGTACGTGGCCTCTAATGGCGCTTTTTCTTATGTCTCGCTCCGCGAGATGATAGGGTGGTTGCCGGTGGCGAAGTTCGAAAATGAGGGTAACCAGTTCGGAGATAAGCTGGACCCGATTGTCGAGAAGTTCCCGGTAGAGACCCCCCCCCCCTGCTGAATGGTTCTGTCTACATACGTTACGGCCTCAGTTGAGACGGTTCACTAATATGTACGACTACGATCCAATCTCAGGGGGAGGACCCTGGCTGCTCAAGCGGGTGTCAATGGGCGGTGATGGGTTTTCCCTGTCGATCGTAACCCTGCCTTTATTTATTGTCTTTATAGGTTTTCCCTGATGTTATTTCAGATTCTCATCACTGACCGCACGCTATTTGTTCCCAGGCAAGCTAGCGCCGGCAGCCGCCTTCATGACCGGCAAGATGAAGCTCTCTGGAGACATGGGCAAGGCGATGAAGCTCGAGAAAATGATGGGCAAGCTGAAGTCTAAGCTGTAGGGTGACCTGCCGTCTCGGTGCTGGATGGCAGGGTTCGTGTTGGTGCGTAATTGGCACCGCTGCCGGACAGTCAACTCTGATTGTTGAATGTAGGGTCGTCCTGTTAACGTGGTGCGAAGGATTCAGGCGTGCCGCTCATTGTTTGAGCGAGTGGCGCCGAACGTATTTTGTTACTCAGATTTAGGAAACTGCAGGTTATTTGGCTGATGTTGCTAATGAGGGTGCGAAGTAGCGAGTGAGGCGTGAGCGGATATCAGTGACGTAGTTAAAATGGATTTGGAATGTCACAGCGTTATTCCTCGTTCTTGCTTGTCTTGCCTTCAATCTACAGTTCAAAACTAGGCGAGAATATTATTGCGTTGACGTTTGCCAGTATGGTAGATCTGAGTGATCGTTAGTCCGACGAGAATTGGCTAATTTTCGAGCGCTGTATAGTGCGGTTGGCTTGCATGATTGAAGCGGTTGAGTAAACAACTATAATAATTTTCGGGACTGATTTGAATGCCGTTATTGTTGAGTGTTTGTTATGAATTAGCGAACTGGGCAGCCAGTACCACTTCATCAATGCAATATACAGATATTTGATCAAGAATAACATTTTCTGTCGACATTAGGAGATTGTTTATTACCCCAGAAACATGATCAAAGTGAATGCGTTTCGAAAACTTAAATCGACTTTTGAAAGCAACCATCAGCTGCGGAAGAAACAGAACCTACCACGGGGTACCGAATAAGGCGTCCGCAATCGATAGTTGGCTGAGCGACAGTCCCAGCTGGTTGTATGTACGCCACGCGGTAACGCAGAACCTCGAGGCTCTGTTTGTTTTTATAGATTTGCCCGCATACGTCACTGAAAGTACAGGTGCCGTCAGCTGGCACAGTTCAAGGTTGGACAATATGGTTCAAGTGCCTGTAGATGTCATCAGCGGTCCCTCCCCACTCGTCCATATCTGTCAGTTCATTCGACCCGGCACCATTCCGCTCCCCCGCTCCGCCCTGTAAAGCCGGTCGGTCGAGCCGCGCCGAGGTCAAGGTCAAAGGTGGTCGAGGGAGGATGCCCAGCGGTGGCGCGAACGCAGGGGTCAACCGCAGGCGACCACGGAAAGGCTCCGACGGCAGATCGAGGCGAGGAGGTGACACGGCGATGGAGGCTAAAAACCAGCGTGAGTATAAACAGCGGAGGGCGGTGTCTCGCTACTGTTCATGTTGAAAGTTAAACTTACATTCAAACGCATTATGTGGGGTAAAATATTTCCTATGAAAGTTGTTTGGCCATTGGCCAATCGTGACGAAACTCACATGAATCCAACATTGGCGAACCTTGCATTACACATTCGCTGATTACATCGGGTGAAAAAAAAAACATTTAGGTGAAAGAAATTCAAAAGCATTGTAGTTGCGTGCAAACTAGTAGATACGATCGAACAGAAGTCATCCCCAGCGAGTATCAACGGTTTACTTGCTAGCCCATATTGTAATCCCAAAAAATGTGTGACTCGCCTTGCACAGCACGTCTACACTCCGACAACTTCTCGTCTTACTTCAAAGCACCGATCTTACCTCTAAGACGCACCTGTGGCATCTAGATGAGATGTATTGTACACACAGAGTGTGATCACATAGCGCAGCATATTGTACACTTCACTGCGTGATGCGGACTGACACATCACACGATCGACACTGACACTGACACAGGTGTCAGTCTGACATCGCGTCCGATCTGACACCACCGCCCACACACCCTTCACATCGGGTAGTTGAGCATCACGTCTTGCCTTGCCAGCTCCAACAACATAGGATCGTCGAAGAACTTGTTGATGGACACGTCCTCGCTGAGGCCTTTCCGGCGCCTCGTCTTGATCATGAACTCCCTGGCCAGGTGGGTAGCAGGCTGCGGCTCCAGCGGTCGGATCACGATGGACTTGTCGAGCGGATCTCCGGGCACGATCTGCCAGTGGTGGAACACCGACAGACAGAACGCCTGGCCCTGAGTGTGGGTCCGCAGGTCCGTCTCGAACCCGAACGAGTCGATGGCCGGGATGAAGGCCTTGATGGTGTAGAGCGGCGAGCCGGGCACGGGCGCGTCCTGTGTGACGTGTCCGCGCCGCCGCGCCAGCACTGTGTACACAGCTGACACGCAGTCGGCCGGAGCCTGCACCTCCACGAAGTAGTAGGGCTCCATCATGCGAGGCGTGGCCATCAGGAACGCCGAGTAGGCGACTCGGCGAGCAGTGGGGATGATTTGACCGCCGCCCCGGTGGATCGGCTCGCTGGCGATCACCGCGTCCAGGATCTTGAACTTGACGTTGCGGATCGGCTCCTCGCAGAGAGGACCTTCACGCGTGCCCCACTGGAAGCCCTGGACGATCGAGTCCTTGACGGCACCCAGCAGGGACTTGTCCACCTCTGACGGTAGTGTGTCGTCCACCAAGATGTTGGGTCCTGTTGGATCCGGCCCGAACGCCCAGATGGATCGGGCCGCCAGCAGATCCCAGTCGTACTTGGTCTGGAAGAACTCTCCGAGTCGCTTCTTGTTCCAGCCGATCTGGACCACCTGGTTCTCGATGTCTTCAGCCAAACCCTTCTCCAGTGGCTCAGAGATCATCGTCACCTTGTTGCGCTTGTTGGGCGTCTCGGCGAAGCACTTCAGCGACGATGTCTCTACGACGGTCTCGCAGAACGACACCACTGGGTCCGCCACCTTGATGTCGATCTCAGAGTACATCTTTCGCAGGTCGTGCATCACACAGTCCAGGTAGAGCTCGCCTGTTCCCAGGACGATGTGCTCTCCTGACTCTTCCACGCGGGTACTCAGCAGTGGGTACGACTTGTTCACCTTCCGAAGACCGTCCAACATCTTCGGCAACTCGGAAGGGTTGACGGGCTCGACGGCGATCTTGATGACCGCCTGCGTGTTGAACTGCAGCGGCCGGAAGATGTAGACCTCACGGTCCTCCGTGTCAGTGATCGTGGCCGTTTTGACGATGGGCTGGTCGACGCCCTCGATGAGCACCCAGTTCCCGGCCGGAACGCGGTTCACCTCGACGTTGTACCGGGCCTCGTGTATCCACAGACGGCCGACGTTCACCACCCGAGAGTCCTCCTCGTCGGCTAGTGTATACTTCTCTCCGAGCAGCCTCACCGTCTGATCGGCATGCAGCGTGCCCGAGAGGACGCGGCCCAGCACGTGGAAGCAGGTGGCGTCTGATGTCGGGTACTGCTTGGTCGTGTGCACCATGAGCGGTCCGTCGGCGTCACACTCAGCCATCGCCTCAGCCAGCGGCGAGTCGCTCGGTCCGCTGTAGGTGTGCTCGATCTTGTGCCGGGCGTTGTCCAGCGGAGACGGAATGTGCTCGACGCACATCTCCGTGAAGCCGTTGAAGTCGCCGAGGAACCGGGAGCAGATGAGCCTCAGCAGAGGGCGAATGTTGAGTCGGCGTTCCTCCTTGTTCAGGTGGATGCCGAGCTCGTCCAGCAGCGCCGGCAGCTGCGTGTCGACGTCGCCGACCACGATGGCGAACAGCTTGTACAGCGGCTCCAGGATGAACTCGACGAAGCTGCGCTGCGCCGAGCTGTGTGCCGGCTTCTTGGTGAAGCGACGCGTCTTGGAGCTGAAGTAGATGTCACCCCAGAGGCGGCGCGCAAACTGGGAGGCATCCACCTCTGAGCCGAACGTGCGCGCGTACAGCGTGGCGAAGGACTTGAGCGTGAAGCAGATGGAGTACTGGGAGCTGGCGAAGCAGACGTTTCCCAGCAGCGGCGACACGACCGCCGGCGTCTCCTCTCCTCCGTACACCGCCAGCAGCGAGTTCACCTCGTCGATGACGTGGCGCAGCTTGTAGTAGGCGTCCTGGGGAGGCAGCTTCAGCTCCAGCACCAGCCGGTCGATCTTGTTGATGCAAAGCGTCACTGCCAGACCCTCCTGGACGGCGTGCTTCAGCAGCCGCTCCGTGTTCAGACTGACTCCCTCGGCAGCGTCCACAAAGAGCACGATACCGTCGCAGAGCCGTGTCGCAGCCGTCACCTCTCCGGAAAAGTTGACGTGACCCGGCGTGTCGAACAGATTCATCAGGTAGGACTTGCTGCGTGTGTCCTGCAGCACGAGCGTCAGCGGCGTGGCCTTGATGCTGACACCACGCTCCTGTTCAGTGAACAGCGTGTCCGTGTAGCGCAGCGGTCTGTCGTCGCGAGTGCGGAGGTCCGGGTGCGTCTGCTGCATCAGACAGTCGACAAAGCTGGTTTTGCCGTGGTGCAGGTGGCCGACGAGGCCGACGTTTCTTATGAGCGCCGCGTTGTCCATCAAGTCAGCCAGGTACTCCACCTCGTATGTAGTCTCCGGCAGGTCCTGCTCGACATGAGAGAACTTGTTCCGCTTCACGGGCGCGATGATGGGCTGCGTCAGTGGCTGGGCGTCCTCCTCCTGCACGAGGGTCTCTACATCGGCTCCGAACACCTCCTCGGCGGTCGGATAGTACTTTTTATCCTCGTGCAGCACGACCGACAGCTGGGCGGGCTCGTCCTCTGCGTCCATCTCGTCGACCGGCTGGTCGTCGTCGTCGGCGCCGGCGGGCACCAGTTGGCCGCGGCCGGGCTCCGAGAGCTCGTCGGCATCGTCCTCGTCTGACTCGAGCTCCGGGCCGATGTAGTTGCCGAACTCGTCGTACAGCTCCCCGTCCATGGTGACCTACAGATGGATAGAGGTGGAGTCAGCCTTATGCCTTGTGGTCGCAACAAGGTAGGACAGGAGAACCTCTAACAGTTTGTCAGAATAAGATATCAGAGTGGATATCTAAGAGGGTCATATGTGCCAGTTACACAAAAGCAAAAACGCCACTTTTTCGAACAGTTATAAATATGCAAAAATGATCAACAACATGGCAGAAATGTAAAACTTGGATACCTGGCTCATACAGGGTGGGGCAGCATAATCGGGAATAAATATCAAACGGGATTATTTGGTCATGAATCTAAAAATATAGCTCCAAGCACTATTTTAGCAACATCCTATCAATCGGTCACCTTTTACCTATCCCTCATCCTATTTGACCGCCCTCGGCGTCGATGACCTTCTCAAGGCGGGTCCAAAAGCACGCGCATGCACGTGCAACCTCCTGCTTGTCCATGATCGCCCATCAGCTTCGTACCTTGCACTGAAGACTGTTTTTACTGATGATAAGTTGTTCATTAAACTTCTACCAAAAAACGCTCCATGTAAAGAATTTGGTCGGATTTAAATCGGCGGAGTTGAAGGACCAGAAGTTTTTGGTTCATCTCAGGTGGAGGTGCCCTACACAATAACATGTCGTCCTCACTGCAGTACCAGCACGGACAGAGTCCTCGTAAGACGTGATTTGGACCGTCAGTGATCCTCTCTTCCGACGGCTCCACGTGAGTCTGCCAGAGTGCGGTTGTATTTACCAGAGGTGCTCATTTTATCCGGGCTCGATGAAGTAGGGTGCACCACGTGCACCTCCCTTGAAGACCACCCATAGGTCCATCACCCCAACAGGATGTTTACTTTGCATGACCGCTGGAATATTCTCGATACAATCCCCTATATGGCATGCCATTCTTTTTTATCGTATTCCAGTCGGTGATAAGATTTTTTGTCGCTGAAGTTTTGAACATTGTTTCTTTTTAATATGCTCAAGTGCTTCTTCCTTATATTCAAGTGAGTCATCTTGTATGTCCTCTGCTAAGAGTTATTTTACGACGATTACGTTAACCTGTTGTCCTAAGTATCCCCACACAATCCTTATCGTCCGTGATAACACGTTGACCTGCCCAGCAACCTTTACGTGGAATTGCAGGGTTTTAAACAAAATGTTCTTGTTTTACTTGTTTAACATTAGTGTCTATAGGCGCGCGCAAAGCACTTGGAGCACCGTCGAACTATTTTGCTGCTCTTTTCCAGGAAGTTGCATGCTCATGGATGTAGTCATGTCAGATGATGCACAACTTTTGGGCGTTTCATTGCCATAATATAATTTATAAAAATAATGCCATGCCTACTCATGATCAGAGCCCAAAAAGCATTCCCGATTATGCTGCCCCACCCTGTATTTGGTCTATTTTACAATAAAGGGTTTAAATTTCTGCCATGTTATTGGTCATTTTTGCATATTTATATCTATTCATCATGGCGAAAAGCACCATCTCACATATTTAAAGTTTTTCAAACAGTGTTCTACTAAGAATCAATTTTTGTGAGAGTGGAGTGGAGAGTTCAACAAAAATGATGACAGAAGAAAAATTAAAAATTGCACACTGTCACCTTAAGTTCTTTTCATTCCTTGGAAACTTTTTAATGGAACCTTTATTACAAGAAGCAGTTTTTCCAGACATGCTTAATACAAATAGCATCACCATTCCTGACCAGCCTCTGCATGTCCCTCTTCAAGGTCCCTCCCTAGTCACTATGTCCACTGACTTTGCAGGCTGTGGTGGCTACCAGAGCACAGCCCCATTCCTGAATAACAGCTGTGCTATGGCGAGAACTGGAACCAACCTAGATCCTCCCATACCACAGCAGAGAAACCTTCTGCCATGCAAAGGCAAGGCCGCAAGAACAAGTACATTGGCTCTGATGTCACCTGAATGTGATTGGTTTTGCCCGATGAACCATCATCAGACTAGATGCTTCCATAATCTTAATTGTTTGTTTAGCTTTATTGTTACTTGTTTTCAATAAGAAAGGCTGTAATTCAAATTGCCTTTAAAGATTTACCCCACGTTTGATGTCTCAGACGGCGAAAATTCGGTATATGTCAAGTTTAGGTCCTAACTACAATTGTGGCGCTGTTGATACGAATATGAAACAGCAAAAATTTTAGGTTTTAGGTTAGGTTAGGTTGTAGGTTTGTAGGTTTTAGGTTGTAGGTAGGTAGGTTTGTAGGTTAGGTTAGGTTAGGGTAGGTTTGTAGGTTGTAGGTTGGTAGGTTATAGGTATGTAGGTAAGGTTAGGTCAGGTTTGATTATGTTTTTTTCTTTTATTTGCGAGACATATGAGTATCATTTTTGGATTCAGGATGTCAAATAATGTAAAAATATGAAAAATTTATCAATGAAATCTTCTTAGGACTTAAACTTGACATTTACCGAAAATTCTACATCGTCCGGCCAATCCCGTTCAAGGTCAGCGGAAGCTCAGCTGCGGTTATGGAACATGATTGGCCGGACGACGTAGAATCTTCGTCGTCCGAGTCATCAAAGGTGGGGTTATCTAAAATGTTTGAATATCTGGGTGTACTTCCTACCAACTACCCATCCTACGAGTACACACTAAGCAGAGCCTGAGCATTGAGTTTAAGCTGCGTAGGCCCAAAGCCAACCATAAAATGAGGCCACTCCAGCTCCCAGGTAAGCTCTGGACTATTTTGATTAAATTATTTTGATTAAGGTGAGGTTGAGAAGATGTAGCGAAACGTATACTCAATATTATATAACCTACCACTCTTTAACCTACCTGAGATTGAGGCCAAAGATATCTGTGAAAATTCTGAATTTCTGCCCTACAAATTACAAAATAACCACAAAAACTTGTAATAACAAGCAGTATTTAGCGGCTTTCGGCCATACGCGCGCGGCGTGGCTTTCCAAAAACGTTCACCGCGGCCACCGCAACCGAATTAGCTGCGCAGGAATTGTCTTACCAAGGATACTTTCAAGATTGTCTGTCTTATCACTAAATATTTGTTTGATACTACATTTTCAAACATCGATTTGAAACTCCCCCCGACAAATTGTGCGCCACTCAAACATCAGAAGAAAAATTTCAACACTTAATTTGCTATTATTCCCATTGTTTTGAATGAGAAGTCAATTTTTTTCAAAGGAATATGCATAGTGCTGACTCCGTAATATAGTAGTAAGTACAACAAAACACGTAAAAAACTTCGCTGTATGCAAAAGCCTTCTCATCACTGCTCAAAAATTGCAAAAGCAGCTCTCGGTGAGTAATCCTGACGACAATTGGTTAATTTTCCGCTACCGCCATATGATACCGCATGCTTGTTTTGATTTGCGGACTTCATGAGCAATCAAGTAAGAACAAGAATCGCTGTCCCAATAGTTTATAAATATGGCCTCGGCTTTGCCCAAGGCTATATCCTCTTGAGTCCCGCCAATTCGCCCATGAATGGAGAGCAACGAAACTTTTTTGGCTGAGAGCTTTGGTGCCAATAATGACCAGATTGGTGACATTTCAGCCGTGAAGGTCATCGCGCATGCGCAGTGACATGTATACTGGGATATACAAAAATACTCAAAGCCTATAAAATCTGACTGAAATGCAATCCATGAAAACTTCCATACAAACACCAAAGTGTATTTTTTCGTTTGTTTAGGACGTAAAATGGCTAATAGTATTGACACGTTTAATTATCAACACCACTCGCCCTTAACTTCAGCTTCTTCTGCCCCTTGCCCACTGTTCTTAGGTCTTTAGTTGCCATTTCCTTTGAAGATATAGAACTTGTAGCACCTGTTGCGAATCGATAAACAGTAGAGGAAGACCTTGCAGCATTATCTGAAGCGACATCTCTAAAAAAATTCGCCGTATGGTGTGTTTTAGAGAGGTGCTTGCCTATGTCATTGTGCTTAGGGGTCGGATTCTAATTCATCGGGCGATTTATCAAACTTTGAGTGAGGATCTACGGTCATTGAGGTCGCCAACGATTCGAAGAATGTTAACGCTCAACCACAGAGCCATTTGAAGGCATAATGTTGTTTGTGAGCCACAAAAAATGGCTTTAACTGACCCAGCAACCATGTATACTACAGTATACATGACTAGTCCTAGGCACAGTCCGTTGTATACTGACGTTTACATTTCTCCGTCGTGCAGGATCCCGTTGGTCACTCGGGTGTACATTTATTTTTTCAGAGGTCAATTCCTCCGAATAATTGTAGTGCTACTTCTTAAGCACGTCTCAAAATTTTTCGGGCCAAGGACATTTGTATACCTTAGTATACATGAACTTTAATTCTTTCTGGAAAAGTTCCAAACACACAATTTTGTTTACAAAACCTGCAAGCAATGATCAACAACGAATGGTTATGTTAGCAAAACAACAGTTTTCGATGAGTCATTCTCTTAAAAAGAAATAACAGGAAAATAATTAGGAGACGTACCTCTATGCTGCGACCGTCGGGATACCGGAGGGGTGTTCACGGGCACCGCACACTGCTGCGTGCGGTGTGTGCGGTGCGGTGTGTGCGGTACGTCCAGCAGGCGTGGGGGTAGGGGATGGGTAGGCGGCTCTGACGTCACGGCTGCGTGCGGTGGACGGTCCGCTGTGGCCAGTCCCGACCGGCCACAGCGGTCGCTGTGTGCGGTGACGCAAGGCTGACGTAGGGACGCAGTGGGCGGAGCTTGGAGGCTGTGTGCGGTCCGACCGCACACAGGGTCCGTGAACAGCCCTCGGGAAGATTGAAACGCTGAGGCGTCAACAAATTCAACTTGAGGATATAAATTCAGCCACCAGGTGGCGGACCATGGCATGAAGAATGCAACGCATGGCCACGAAATAGCCTAGCCATTAGTGAATTCCGTAGAGATCGACTAAAGACGATGTATACCCCAGTATACAAAAAGAACCAAGAGGATATAGGTTTTGCTGGGTTTTGCCAAGGCGAGTTTTGCGAGTTTTGCGAGGGATCCGGTTCTGCATTGCCCTGCTGTAAATGTGAGGTATCTATCATATGACCGTGACTGTGAGGGTTGTTGTCTGTTGAAACGTGGGTTCGGGAATTGATTAAGGACATAACATTAGTCGCTTTTGCATAGCATTTTTGACGAGGCTGTCACTGTAGCTCGTTTATTTGGCAATTATTTTGATGCAGTGGTGGTGGTCTTCATAGGGGACCATTTTGTAAATTTTAAAGCACCATTCGCATTTTTTGCAACATCATGGACAGAGATATAAGCTTGCAGCAAACCCTGTGTAAATGCGTGATCTGTGACTCTGTTATTAAAATGTTGATTAATTGTCGGAACTCGGTAGGTACTCCCACTTATGGTGCCCGTTCTGGTTCTGGTTCATTTTCACCTTCACTGGTGAAGGGATCTCCTTGGGGACTGGGATATTTTCATATTAAGTTATGGGACATTTCTATTTTTAAGTTTTAAGTGGATTACACTTAAAACGTAGATATGTTATACCCCAGTCCCAATTCTTCACACACAGGTACATTCCAGTCAGTGCTCCCTAGCCATGGACATTTCCCACTTTCTGGCCACAATAGTTAAGTGTCTGATCCCCAATCACACATCTATCTCACAGCCTCCAATATCCATATTGTGCATATTTTTCACTTCCCAGCCATGTTTAGTGTTTACTCTCAGCACAACATTCTGCATTGTTCAGTCACACCCCCATTTCACATCCACCCATTTCCCATTTCACAGCTTCATACAGGGTGATCGAAAAAAAGTGTCACCCCTAACTTAAAATCTACATAACTCGCGATTGGGAGGTCAGATGATTTTGCGCCAGGCAGCATCGGAAAGAGCAGGCAATTTCTTTTCAATTGAATGTATTCATGATTGTTTTCTATTCCAAATCATGTCCCCATGGGCTCAAAAACCAGTCAATGTGCGGCTTTCACGTGAAACAAAATTCACCGAACGGGATCGGACACCGCTGAACGAGAACAATGAGTATCGTAACTTAACATGACACACACCTTACACATTACACATGGAGTGTATGTTGTTCACTGCAGACTGTTTCTCAGCTGACCTTAGACTCGTCTTCACTCGAAGTTCCTTGAACTTCACTTCACTCGAACTTCCTTGCAAATATGCGGCCTAATTATTCACAAATTCGCCGGTAACCATAGCGAAACATTGCGACAACCTGCATTGCCGGATTATCAATTTTATGCAGCGGTAACCATGGAACAGTTAAGAAAAACGCTCACGTGAGCTGTCACGTGAGCTGTCAGATCAAAAACACTGTCAAAAGTACAAATTTGCACAACAAAACTTTTGAACACGCCAAATTGCGTCCTTAACATACCTTTTGAATAGCTACATTTTCGTTTGCGGCATAAACCATGCATATTTACATCCATTCGAAAGGAAATTGTATGCTCTTTCCAATGCTGCCTAGCGCAAAGTCGTACGACCAACCAATCGCGAGTTATATGGCTTTTAAATTAGGGGTGACACTTTTTTTCGATCACCCTGTATAACCACTCCTTGCTCTCCAACCACATGTATGGCATTCTTTTCCCAACTGCATGTAAGGACGTTAGCATTGCTCTGGACAAAACAAGGTAATTTTTATTCCCCAGTCACCAGACAATATGGGATGTATGGGATGTAATCTATAAGCCATCCCCAGTGGTATCAAAATATGATGTCACAGTTCCTGGCTGACCAAGTGACCACCTCTGTCTCCATCTCTTGCTGTCCCATTTGTGGCCATTGCTATGTGGCAATGGCTTGCGGTCTATGGACCACTACTGCCTTAGTAAGTCCATGTACCACTCTGCCACAGTGACATCTGGATGTGAATCATTGTAGGGGATACTTGGTTTGACTCAGCCTGACTGGCTGAACTTTGAAAGGACCTTTGAAAGGACCTTTAAAATGCTGTGGTTCGAAAATGTCACCTGCCCGCTGCAGTGGCTCTTCGCTATTGACAAGTCATACATGATACATGCACGTGATTATTAGATAATGTTGCGTCAGTTTCAATGCTGACTGATCTAAGCGAGCACCTATGCGCTTTTTGTTTTTCTGGTTTCTGGGCGACAGTTGCGTAGAATGCCCTGTGCAAATCTTCGAGCTTACGAATAAACTAATCTATTCACCTGAGTCACCTATGCATTGAAACTCTGCTTGTTCCGTAGATGAAAAAGCAATGTATGACCAAGGCAACTCAACCGACAGCGAACAGTGCATTTGATAGCACTGACTAGTGACTGATCATGTCAACCGTCGGCAAACTCCAGCGTTTCCATAACCACTCTCTCCGTCTCTTTCCTCTCTCTCTCTCTCTCTCTCTCTCTCTCTCTCTCTCTCTCTCTCTCTCTCTCTCTCTCTCTCTCTCTCTCTCTCTCTCTCTCTCTCTCTCTCTCTCTCTCTCTCTCTCTCTCTCTCTCTTTCTCTCTCTCTCTCCCCCTTCCACCTCCCCTCTCTCCCTTTCCCTCTCCCTTTCCCTCTCCCTCTCCCTCTCCCTCCTCTCTCCCTCCTCTCTCCCTCTCCCTCTCATACTTCCTCTCCCTCTCCCTCTCATTCTTCCTCTCCCTCTCTCTCCTCCCTCTCCCTCCCTCCCTCCCTCCCTCCCTCCCTCCCTCCTTATCCTTCTCCCCCTCTTCCTCCTCCCCTCCCTCCCTCATCTCCCTCCGACCTTCTCCCACCGCCACCCTCCCCGTCGACCATTGCTCCCCCTCTCCTCCCCTCCCCACGTGCCGCTCCTCCCTCCCGGTCCGTCCCCCCTGCGGGCGGTCGGAGATTTCCCGGACTCCTCGGAGCCTCGGCTGGCGGCGGTCAGTCGGCCGCCGTCGGTCCCCGCGTGAGCACCGTGCCGCGCCCGTCCGCTCCGTACTCCGTGAGACACGCGCTCCCGCCGACCCCACAATCACAGCTTGGTCAGCTGACCGAGCCAGTGACAGCGTGACAGCTGTGACGTCCGTGACGGCTGGCGTGACTCGATGACGGCCATTTCAGTCGGTGACGCCGCCAGTGCCGGTGCGAAGGAGAAGGCGGCCAGGATGGGTGGCGCGCCGGCCAGCCCGCCCGCCGAGGCGCCCCTCTGGCTGCGCACCTCATCAGCGGCCAGCTATGCCTTCTCGTCGTTTGCCATCATGGCGGTGAATAAGGAGGTGCTCACAGTGAAAAAGTAAGTAGTTAAAGTGTGGACTGCTCCCGTGTTCTGGAAATGCATGTGGTTTTAATCTGGATGCTTGGGAATTATTCACACGGCCCAAAGTGTAGTGTTTTGACAAACACGTTTATAAAACGGTATGCCGTATATGTACATCTAGGAGCCAACATGGTGCTGCGCTGAAGTTAATTCTAGTCGACAGGTGCTTTGCGTGGGTGTAAGCTACTTAAATGTTATTATGGGATAGGGAAAACAACTTACCCCCCCCCCCCCCCCATAAAAACCTTCCAAATGCCATCCCTATTTGGACTGTAAATGTGTGCTTCTTCCAGGCGACAAGCGGTGTTTTCGGGCTCTGCGATTTCGATCTCGCTATTTGCGATGGGGCTCTAATTTATGTTACGGCTGTAGACTTTTATGCTTGTTTACAGTCGAGACGCGAGACTATGTTTCGAATTTACAGGCTTCTGGCGTAGTGCCTATGATAATTTCGTTCCAACATTACAACTTGACGAACAATAGGGAGCATACGTCCGCGCTTCACACCCTATGCGGCTCATCCACATTCCACTGTTCTATCTGTCCGCATTTAACTGTATGTTCAAATGCAGTCACGGGAAATGTATTCAATGGTTTTGACTTCGTGACTAATTAAATTTTCTTTTGCAGGTTTCCGTCGTTTTTAGTGCTGGGCGTTTGTCAGGTAAGCACTAAGCATATTTTCAATTACGATGCATGTGTGGGTGTGGGTGGACCTATTGTATTTGTTGCATGCATTGGAATTGCATGCAATAATGCATTTTGCATTATTGTTGTGGTAGTACGATCTGTATTCGCAAAAGAAAGTGTGATGACGAACTAGTGCTACATTACGTCATAACTTACAAATAGAGTTTCTATGCGGCCTATTCGAGCTGCCTTGCTAACTATATGCAGTGCACACATGCGGCGGAATGTTGCAGTCACTGACCGAAAAATGATGGTGCACTGGCATGTTGTGTTTCGCATTATTTTCCGGTCAGTTGGAAACCTGTGCTAAATGACGAGAGGTAGGTTGTTTCTGCTACCAGTGTGCCGACTAGTATTGGAGTCGTCGGGTTCGTTTTATTGTTACCTACTCTGCAAGTCCAAGTAAGCACATAACGTCGTATATGGCGTCTGGAAAGTAGGTTCTCCTCATGCATACGCTTGGTGGTTACTGATGAACAGTGGCATTTGATGCTCGGTGAGATTGTCATAAGTTTTCTCGCCCGTTTTCACATTTTAAACGTTCTACTATCTTTTATTCTGATAGTTATTCCCGGATATGTGCATATGCATCCACTATTGTACAGTAACAATTGATAAGATTCTAGCGGTCCGCCCTTATCGCGGTTTGTAGCCGCAGCGACCAGCCGGTAGACTGTAGAGTCGTGACCTCCCACTGGGTGTCACCGACCGCTGCGCTTGATCATGACGTCATAGCTAAATCATAGTGACGTCAGATCCTTGGTAGCCAGTTTTATTGAGGCGTTCTCCGCGGTTGACCTTGTGGGTGGAAACGTGGTCCTTTTACAATACCCTGCGTGTACTGTTCGCTCGTCTGTGATTGTGAAGCGTAGGTGCTCCGATACGAGTTGCTAGGTGTGAGTGATACTGCGGTCGATTTCAGCCAGTCGTAATGGGATCATATAAGGAATGGTCCCACGAATCGCGAGGAATTGCTAGGAATATGGGAAATTGCGGTCCACGACTGTACTCGTCCCGTCCGCCGGTCATTTGTCTTTCCAGTGCTCATTTCCTGAGACCTGCTGACTGGATCGCAATCCTCCGGTCAGATACCCGCCCACTGCCCAGTGCTCAGTACTCAGTACTCTCAGACCGGCTGACTGGAACCGGTGGCACCGCCGCTTTGTCCGGCCCTGACCTGCCGTCGGACCGCGGAACATCCCCTCGGAACCGGTTGTATGGGCCCGATGCTTTCCGAGTTATCATGCTGACTGCTACTGGGTCCGCTGCTACTTGGATGGCATCTACCCTATCTACTGTCTGTTGAAGTGCTGGCTATTTGCTGCCCGTCTGTTGTGCCGCTAGTTACCTTTGGCTATCTTGCTCACCGTTTGTATATAGAGTGGTCGCTGTTGCGGCCACTGTTGCATCCTTTGTTGCGACTGCTGTTATTCCATGTTGTCCGCTGTTGTGTCAGGGCGGTCGACGATCTGCTTACCGTCTACTCTTCTCTTCATGGTTGATCGTCGTTGTTTCTGCCCGGAAACACACTCAGCACTCAGCAGCCGCTCTGTGGTCAGGACCGCTAATAGTCTGACGATCCCAATCCTGTTGTCACGGTAGCTAACGGGCTCTGGGTTTTTCTTCTGCCGCTCGTGTGGTTCGATCTTGTCTGGATCGAGCGAATCGGCCTTGGCGCATTGAGCTGGAGATGGCCGTTGCCGGTGGTGGGAACTCGGCTTCCGCACCGTGTCTTCGGGGACAGTCATTAGGTGACGTGATTGATTCGGTATGTCGATGCAACGAATGTATTCTCGTGGGAATCAAATTACCGCTCGCTGATGCTGTGCATAACAGTTTATTCTACCTGTTTCGTGTTTATCATTATCTACGGATTTGGTTTCATTGGGCGCAAAATGACCTCGTAGTCGGCGCGCCCTAAAGTCCCAACAAACAACAAAGGATTTGGTTTCATATATCCTTGCTGATAACTATTATCTACGGACTACGGAGATAGATGTTTTTGTATTTGGCACTGTCCGAGGGTATGTCGGTATCGTCGGCCTGTACCCACTAACGCTGTTGCAATGCCGGAGCAATGTGATAGCCATTTTGGCGCGTTTTTTTTTTTTTAGTCTAATTAGGCAACGACATTTGCCATCTGAATACCGACCAAATCAGCTCGAGGCTGTAGCTCCCAGTGCATACGAGTATTATGATCAAATAATCTTACCTGAAGCTAATTACATCAGCCCGGCATCTCTTGAATTATTACCGGACAAACGCTTTCAACCGGAATGTTGTACGGAAGCTCTAGCTTGACAGTGAATGACAGCACAACTCTTTTATCCGGCAGCACAGCAAACGGCGTTCAATCCCCTACATTGCAGATACGGCCCACGGGCGAGATAATAGTCCAAAATGCTCGTACGTGTTTACGCTGATAGTGATCACAATGATTTATCTATGGGCGGTGAGCCCATGTCCGATTAATGGATAAGATAATCAGATTGCCGACAGATCCGATCACGATTCAGATCATAATTATTTCAGTATTGCTCTACCCGTCAATTTTCTTTTCGATTGTCCTATTTTTGAGCCACGCATATGAAGACATACTTCGGGAGGTGTTCAGTGATGACGCGATTACGTATTATGTATTACGCTCATCCCAGTCCCAGTGGACACGTAATCTTGTCCCGACCCGCAATCTGATCTAAGGCGCCAGACACTCCCGTGGTATCGTAATACTCTGTGTGATTTGTGACTGCTATGGATGAACCATAAAGTGACACCAAAGTTCAGTCGGTTGTGTGCCCTTTGATTGGGTGTTCTGTGAATCTCAGTCATTGGCAGATTCAGATTATTCAGGCGGCATACCGTTATATCCAAGATTGTTTTCTTTTCGCTTTACTGTTGAGGGATGAAACTTAGAATGGCGTCACACAATTTGATAGGAGTGTCACATTCTCTGATAATATACATAGCCTACTTCAACTTGTGAAATGTGAAATCATGTTGTTTCCGACAGACAGTGGTTTCAGGTAGGTAGTGTTCTGCTAAAGTTACCGTTATCCGCGTCTTGTCCTCGATTTTCGACAGCAAGCCTGTCAAAAACTGCGGACTCATTATAAGGTTTGATGATGCTCAGAGCCGAGCTTTGTTTTAAACAGAGTGACCCCTGTCTCAATCCCAGCTCTCCACTTGTAACAGAGATCCGGTAGGTTGTGGCGGATACAGCTCTGTCGTGCTGCTGCCCAATTGCTCCCCAATCTCTTCATGATACCCAGTGGCTGCGGCGGCACCCAGCTGCCTCCGAGCTCCGGCCGCACGCCGCGTGTGCGAGCCGTCTCCGTGCTGACCGAGCACGTGGCGGCACCGCTCGCTCTGCACCCAACGCTCGGCGGTATCGGAATACGCACTGTCCTCGGTTACGCAATGTGCGCGGCTGGCTTGATGCGTTGGTTACACGCACGTCAGTTGCGGGGCAGTGCCCCGGGGTTGTGCTCCGAGTGCCGGATGTTGACTGGACAGAGCTGTCTGGTCGAACTTGGAGCTGAAATAGAAGTTTGGGTTGAGAATTATGCAGCGACATTCGCTGACATTCGCTGATACTGACAGTATGACACTGACAGTATGCTTCTGCAGCAAAATATGTGAGTCTGTGTTGCACGTTCTATTCTTACAATATCTGGCAACTGGATTGTTCGGATGAATCTTTGACTGCTTTTTGAACTTGTGGAAAGAAAGGAGACAATCATTTTCTACCATGGGCACTTCTAAACTCTCTCCAGCTTCATAATTATTCAGCGGGAACTGTTAGGTCTCGCAATACAAGCGCGATGGCTAGCAACGGGGGTCCTGCAGTATCAGCAGTACCGCCTTTTGAAAGCTAAAACTTTGTTTCGTACAGTACCGACGGGCACCCCGGCCCCACAGCGAGTCTGACCTGGCGCTGTTGGTGTGCTTTGTTTGGCCTGTGCGGTCGTGACAACCCGTGCGCCCCCATGTGTGGGAATGCATGGGAATGCGTCACCCAGCTGATCGATCGACCGAGGGCGCCCCGTTCGCCTACGGAGCGGCCGTGCCGCCGGTCTGGGAAGGGGTGGAAATGGTGGGGAGGTGTGTAAACCAGGCCGGCATTGCCGCGGCTGTTGGTGGGAACAGCAGGCATCATTGTAGCCGAACGTAGGAAAACTAAATGTGGCACAGTTTGTTCATGCTCAATTCGCGTTGCTTGTTTACCATTTGATTCACTCAGTATTTTCACGCGGGTGATCCAATCCCCCGGGGTGATCCAGTCCACTCTTAGCCTAACACAGAAGCTATGATTTTTTTTAACATCACTGTTACTCCGACATTTTAGTCACTCTCCACGGCATTAGAGCTCTAGCTAGCTTTGGACATCTATGAACGACCAGCACAGGCCGGACGCCCTGAAAGCCCAGAATCACTGCCACTTCAGCCGCACACAGAGTGTGGCTGTTTTACCATGTGTCTGACGCAGCGTTTGCCTTGTTCCAGATGCTGGTGACCATTATCACCCTAGGTATACTGCGGTTCGTAGGCTACGTACAGTTTCCAGCCCTCGACAGGAGTATACCACGCAAGGTGAGCGGTTATGTTGACGCGATAGACGTATCTCTATGTAGTTTGCAATTAAGGTTAGTGTTATCATAGGTTGGTTTGTGTGAAGTGGTAAGGCGGGTATAGGTATTTTAAGACTGTTATGACGACGGCCAGAATTAGACACCTATGAGTCAGGTGGGAGGGCACGGGGTGCTATTAGAGTTATGGCTTGCTGTGATCAGCTGCCTTGTCCCGGAGTGACGGGGAAGGGAAGGGGAGACCAGGAATAGCCACCTTCCCAGAACGCATACCTTGGAAGGTGAGCAAGGTTTCCAGAAGGCCGTGAAGTTAAATACCATAGATGTGAAGCGCAATTATGTGTAGAGGGAGTCGATTAGGACTGAAATCTCGTGTCATCGACCAGGTGGTAATGGCTCCAATTGAAGGGGTTGGTATTGGAGGGGGGATAGGGGGCTTTGTCCTTGTCTTCTACTCCAGGTACGCGTCCTCTCAAGGTCAATGTTAAGGTCACCGCACAAGGCTATTCTTCTAGTGCTGCGCTGGTAAAGAGAAAGGCTTCGATGGGTAATGTGCTCGTTTGCTTTTTGTCCCGAGTTGTTTTCGCCGCAATTCGCTGTTATTGTAGGAGGGATGGATGTCTTTGTTCTTTGACAGCCAGGGTAGGTCAGTGTCCTCTCTGACTGATTGCTGCTCGCCTGAGGCGTGCGTGACGTCACTGGTGCCCGGGGAGAAATGACGTCACTGGTTCTTCGCCCAACCTTCGCACAGCACCATAATGTGGTGTAGTGCAAGGCCCTAAATATAGGTCTGGTGGCTGGTGCAAATGTCTGATCTGAGCTCTTTGTCTTCAGATATGGCCGCTACCTGTAGTCTATCTAGGAAATCAAGTCACGGGTCTAGGAGGTACAAAAATGCTCAGGTGAGTTTTACCCGAGGTTTGCGAATTACCGTCTACGGCACTCAGTTTTCATGCTAGGCAATTCGCTCAGTCTTTGCCAGTTGCAAATGAAAATTGTGTTGCATCGATCATTCAAAGAGCATTTCCATTTAATCTAAAAAGTACCAGACGTGCCTCGACAATAAATATTTGATGCATGCAATGCTAACTTGAGGACATCAAAACAGGTTAGACAATATCCCACAAGCATATGCATTTCTCCGTCCTATTATTCGCATCACTGAAATGTTTTATATTGATATATTCACATAGGCCAGTACCCGATAGGGGCTTTCAGTGACGAATATCTCAACTGTTCTTTTCAGTTTACCTATGCTGACGGCGCTACGAAGGTTCTCCATTCTGATGACCATGGGACTGGAATTTTACCTGCTTGGGTGAGTACATAAGTGCTGATGATTTCTTCAAATATCTTTGTTTCTCGTATTCTCTGTGACTCTTTCTCCCTATATTCCTCTACTTCACACAACTTTCTAAGCTCTTTCTAAACAGTGAGTTGCCCACATTGGTCGGCCGGTACCGGTTTGGAAGTTCGGTCGTCTCTGGTTTTGTCCAGTATTGTCTGCTATTGCTCGGTGCTGTCAAGTTTTCCTGATCCTGAAAGGAACGGCCAGTCGCTCTGTCCCTCGCCCCGCGCCGCCCGCCTGCATTGATAGACGCTACCGGCGCATTACCGCCGGCCCCCCTTGTCACGGTTGACCGGTCAGTGTCGGCTCCGTAATCCCACGGACCCTGATTTAATCGGTACCAGGCGGACAAAGCGAAGACGGCGATGCGGGGGGGGGGGGGGTTGATTCGGGATTCCCTGACAGCGTCGCCCGTCCTTCCAAGCCGACCCTCCCCGACTCCGCCCCCTCTTCCCCGCACCACCACTCTCACCAACTCCACCCCTTCTCCTCTACCCCTCTCCCAAATCCACCGGTCTAACCCTCCCCCGGCGCCACCCCTGTGGCCCTCTGCCTCTCGACTCCCTGTCTCGACCCGGCGGGACGGCCACTTAGTGACCTTGAACTTGGCCGCTGCCTGCTTACCTGGCGTCAAGGGTTCGCCGGGCTTGTTTTGCGCGGTGGGTCTGCCTGACTGCGGCTACCTGTTTCAGTGGCGCGCTGACCTTTCAGCTCCCACGGTAGCGTATTGTCCCGTCCTGCCTAGTCGAGAAGACGGCTGTTTTCGTGTGGCAAAACATTTACCGGCGCTTCTGCTGGATGAGCTTAATTGGAAAATGATGTGAGCTGCAACTGACTTTGAATAGAACTTAGAATAACATGGTTTAAAAGCACAGCGATGATTTGACTCCTGCTGATGGGTGTCTTAAATCCATTTATGGATACCACGGCAGATCGTTTTGACTAACAAGATAAGCTTAATACGACATCAGTTTGAACAACAATGGACAGGCCAATGTCCACGATTAACAATAAAGGGTTGAAGGGAGGTCAAAACCCTCACCAGTCACGTCACGACTCAAACTCATGCTCTAACTCTGTCTCCTATTCCAACTTTTACTCCAAGTGTGTCCCGAGCTTTTGACTGACGCCGGCAATACGAACGTGGCAGAAGCGGCAGTGGCTCGGCAGGAGACGGTATCGGGGGCAATAAAGTGTCCGTCTGGGCAGCGCGAGGCCAACCAAGGACGGAGCGGAGCCGGCGGCGCAGGTCAATGAACGACGCTAGCTGTACGGGCAGGGAGGAGGGATGCTATGGACCGGTGAAGCCTGTGCAGAATGGGGTAGACTGGTGGGAACGGGATGGTGTGATGGACATTGAACTGTGGTGCGGGTTGCTTTGAGACCAGCAGTGAACGTCGCAAGTTGAACGTGTATTGGGAAGACATCGGCATGGAGAGAGTCTGGGTCGCCCGTCGGTCAGGCACCGACAGGGCTGCGGAATTGATGGATTTTTGGTGACTTTATCCGACTCCGGCTTCCCAACATTGACTCCGTCTCTGGCTCCGACTCCGGGCAACACTGTCGATTTGGACTTCGGCTCCGACCCCGTCTTTACAGACTGGTCACCGACACCACAGCAACTTTTTGCTCAATATCAGCGGTCCTAAAACCAAGACATCGAGCCAACCGCTAGTGATTAGGTTTTCAGTTTTATTACAGCCGTCACAAAAAGGAACCGTCGAGCAAAGACGCCGTGGTCGTTTTAGTTGAGTGGGCATGGTGTGAACTGTGGAGCTTTGTTGTCATATTTATGAGAACTGCAATGCTTCATTTGGTCATAGATAGCTGTTTCACGTTCTCAGCTCATCAAACGGGGTACTGAACGGCAATAGCGACGCCTCATAGCCGCCTACTTCGGAGGCAGTTCTGGTGAAATCATTGGCGACAGACAGCCCCGGCCACGGGCCGCTTTATCCGATCCTCAGGTGGCTACCGGTTCTGCCAAAGCTCCGCGGCCACTGGAATCAGAGATCAAACGATTGATTATAAGATAACGGTGATGATTAGCTGAAGCGTTGACATTTCTAACCCTCCATTCTGGCGTATGTACCGTTTCTGGTTGGATTATGCCGTATGAGCAATGTCTGTTATGCCGTCTTTCAGCTAAGGCTGTACGAGGGGCGTTCAAAAAGTTCTCGGCCCAACCATGAAGGAGTTGGAATTTCGGCCTGCAACGCGATGTGTTCAATGATGTGTTATTGGGATGTCCACTTACGTAGCCATTAACCAATCTGCCCTGTGATTGGTTCAGGCTGCCAATTAATCGTAACATAGTTTGCTATTACCGGTCAGAATGGGCGACGCCCAGAAGAGAACAGTGATTTGGTTCATGTATTGCAGAAAAATGCACCAAACGTTATTCACGAAAAGCTAGTGCCAACACATGTTGAGGTTTGTCTTTCTTACAGTAGCGTCAAAAAGTGAGCATCTCTGTTCAATTTTGGTCAACAGATCATTAATGGTCACCCCCGCAGTGGCCTGCCATCAACAGCATTGACTCAAGAAAATATGAAAAATAAGCACTTCTTTGTGAAAAATGACAAATGTTCTGGTCTGAAACAACGCAGCAGAAGCGGAGGTGTCTATCAAGTTCCTCAAAGCCATTATTCGACAGCGTATTCATATGTTTAAGATCTCTGCAAGATGCATCCCCCGTTTGCTGACACCAGAGGAAAGGGAAACTCGAAAGGAGGCGTAACGCGAAAATTTTGGCCCCTATATCGAAGATCCAAAAGAGTTCATTGAACTAGTTGTTACCGTGGAGGGATTGTGGGTGTCACACATTGACCCTCAGGGCGTGACCGAGTTGCACAAGTGGAAGCACACTGAGTAAAGGCCACCAAATGTGTGCGGCGTGTTTAACCCATATATGCATAGACGTACATAAATGTACGTCAATTTGAGTTGATCAATGTGTGCCATCTTTATAGAAATAGAGCTAATGAGCCATCAAACGCGGTCGTTCTAAATCATTTACATTGTTAGCCGTCAGGTGAATACCAAAAAACACGGTTCCAATGCATTCAGTGTTGAGTTTGAGACATTCGGTTTGTTGATGCCGCAACGGGAAGATTTTCACCCGTTCAGACGCTCGACCCAGGGTGAGCCAAGTGTTCATAATTATAGTTAAGTGCTTTTCCCGGATTAGCTTTCGTTGCCAGCAATCTGCTCAAGCATGACCCTAACTTCATGAGTGGTGTCATTATAATGCTAATTTTGCTTACCAAGCGAATCCAAAAATAGTACGTTTCACAAAAACGCACGTACAATAATGTACGTCTATGCATATCCGTTACATTTTGTTTCCCAAACATCAAACACGTTTATGCTTTGGTTTGATGGCAAATGTGAGCCTCAACGATGTTCTGGATCAGGGCTGCGGGAGTCGATGGATTTTCAGTGACTCCGACTCCGACTCCGACTCCGACTCCGGGTAGAACTATCGACTCCGACCGACTCCAACTCAGCAGCCCTGCCAGGTCAGCGGAGTCGATGGGTTTGTCGGTGATTCTGACTCCGACTCCGGCTCCGGTTTCCAAAATCGACTCCGACTCCGACTCCGGTCAGAATTGTCGACTCCGACCGACTTCGACTCCGACTCCGACTCCGCAGCCCTGTTCTGGATGGCATCGAGGAGCGAAGTCGAGTCGCCGATGTCACGGTCGTCGTCCTAGAGCCGCCGGAAGTTCGCGTCGACACAAACGAAGACTCTAGCGACGAAGAGAATGCTGACCCAGCCCGCCTGACGTAACTGGTCTGAGCCGTAACTGACGTAACTGAGCCGTAAAGACGTAACTGAGCCCGTAACTGGTCGCACCCACCGGCTCAACCGGTTCGGGATGATTATGGAGGTATGTCACTTCCAAAGCAGCACCAAGCTTGACCCTGATGATCGGTTTTGCAGCAGAGATCCAGAAGCGCCAGTTCCATGGCACGTGTACCATGTGAGGGAATCGCCTTCTGAAGGCGAACAAGTTCACCGACATCAACGCCTTCAAGAAGAAGTCCAATCAGACCATCGAAGCATTTACGACTGCCAACAACGGCTGCAGTGCGGCTGTTATCCGCTGGATGGACGTGGTCGAGGATCACGAGTTCCAAGAGGCCATCATGCCGTCACTGGGGAAGGAAGAGCCGGCCGACGCCCCTGGACAGACGCACCTCTTCGAGTTCTAAGTCAAGGGCGACCAGTCGCTCTGCTCCGTTGACCATGCCGGCGACTTTACGTCCGGCTGATGGCCGTCTTTAGTCATTACAGCGGGGCCACGCGCTCGGGACAGTGTCTGACGTGTACAGTGTGGGACGGGACAGGTGGTGCCATTACGACGACCGACGCGTCAGCTGCGTGGACGAGGCAGACGTCCTGGGCGAAGGCCCCCAGCGGAACGGCTACATCTTCTGTCTCCTCAAGAAGCTCTGCAGTCAGGTAGTCAGCATGGAACGCGCCGGGCGCCGGACTGTGACTGCCACAGCGGAGCACAGGGTCACCGCGTCGGTGGCCAGCAGCAGAACGCCTTCAGGGCTGCGGAGTCGATGGATTTTCGGCGACTTCGACTCCGACTCCGGCTTTCAAAAACCAGCTCCGACTCCGACTCCGACTCCGGGCAGAATTGTCGACTCCGACCGACTCCAACTCCCGACTCCAACTCCGCAGACCTAGCAGGGCTGCGGAGTCGACAGATTTTCGGTGACTCCGACTCCGACTCCGGCTCGGGTTTCTAAAATCGACTCCGACTCCGACTCCGACTCCGGTCACAACTGTCGACTCCGACCGACACCGACTCCGACTCCGACTCCGACTCCGCAGCCCTGCGCCTCCTGATCGCCATTGACAACGTGTTTTTTTATAGATCTACTATGTTGACTATTATGTACTGAGTTTTCAATAGACGGTAAAAGTTGACATAATTGAGTTGTGTTTTGCAAATTTCCTTATTTTCATCATACATGATCTACATCTATTTCCTAATTCAACGTATGAATTGTAACTACCATTTCCAAGGGTCTCTAATGCAACACAACATATCATACATCATATTTGACCATACAACACAAGTTATTCCCCTCGCCCAGGTTAACGATGACATGACGTCACCCTACCCCCTCCACAACCCCATCCCCACCCCAACCCATCCCTCATACATCGCTTCTGAAGTACGAAAGACGTTAGCATTGTATTAGGGATATCGGATGTATTATTTTAGGACGGCGGCGGCAGACGTCACAATTGTCTTGTTGACACCTGGCATAGACGTACATTTTTGTACGTCACTTTGAACGAGCATATCAGGCAAGCACTAAATGTAAAAACAAAACAGTTGATGTCAGCAGCTTAGTAACATGTTGTTTAACAATGCTAGAAAGTTTCATACAAATACTCGACAAAAAATTAATTCATGCATATATGGGTTAAGTCAGACGGCAAGGTGACAGTGGTTGCATTTTTGGATGATGGCGGGGCTCTGCTCGTCAACTTTCTAAAACAGGGGCGCACAATTAATGATGAATGATACACCTCCCTTCGATAACAGTAGCGAGCAGCAGATATCAAGGAGAGACTAGGGAAGCTGACTAAAAGTGTGCGCCTGATCCAGGACCACGCACCAGCACCCATGAGCAGGGTGACGATCAGCGAAGCAGTGAGCTGTGGCTTCGAGTTGTTGTCACAGACACTTTTTTCTCTGTACCTTGCACCCTCAGGTTGCCACCTCTTCCCCAACATAAGGAAATTGCTTAGCAGTGGCAACTTCGCTGACAGCAAGGAGACAAAAGCAGCCGTCTTGGACGTGCCAGATGCGTCCAAAACCCACTTGGCTATGGAGACCCAGGGGCCTCTCGCGAAGTGCTGCGCGAAATACTTTTGTCTTAACGCTGGTTATTTGACTAAATGAACATTTTTTGTCTAATAAGTCGACATCGTATGTCTGCTCCTTCATGGTCGGGCCGAGAACTTTTTGAACGCCCCTCGTAATGTTTGTTGGATTCTTTGACTGGTAGGCTGATGATCGTTGAATTAGGTTAAACCGCCGCCATGGCCGCGTTCATTTTGCTCACCGATCTGAGAGGTCAGTAGACTGACATTTATCGTATGCCTGTCCTTTTTGCTCACTTCTCGGACCAAGGCATTTACCTAACCGCTTTCTCCATGTGGATCTCGGACATAGAGCACAACATTCCTCATGCTCAGCGAGAGGAAAAATTCCACCGGTGCCTCCTGGCAGCTTCTCGTCTGGAGATCCCATACCGCAGTCCTCTGGGATGGGCGCATACCTTCAGTCCCCTGCCGTCCCCCGCACGGTGGTACGGTAGCAGGTAACACCACAGGAGTTCACCGACCGACCATTCGGCTAATGCACCTGTTTTCGCGGCCCAGCGCAGGTGGCCCTGGGAATTCCACCGCGTGTTACCCCCTCCCGATGGATTCTGCGTAAATACTTCGACCCTTTGGACCTGGGATTCGTTTGGCGCGGGTTATCGAAGAGCCCAGCATGGCACGGGGTAAGGTCGGCGCTTCCAACCGCTTGACTGTAAGCCTGACTAAGCCTGACTAAGGATTTCATTATTCAAGTGAGGAATACATAGGAAGAAAATGCAGTTGTATGCCTTTTGTACGGAACCTTAGAAGATTGGCTGGTGTCATATTTGTAGTTAACACTGAGACTCATTTATGAAATTTGATTTCCATAATCGAAGAGAAATACGCACTGCTGCATTTGGTGTGGTTTATGGAAAAGATACCGTATTGTGAACTGTGAAGAAGCATGTGTTACTGTGGCCAGCTTGCATTATGTACAAAAATTGAGTTACACACACTACACAGTCAGTTTCAGTCCTATTTCTGTTGTTTATGGACAGTGCTGCGTTTTCTGAACACGTTGACTCATGGCACAATCCTATGGCCTGGCTCTATGCCAACCCCTATTCAGTAGTACCTACGTTTATCTGGCCGGCGGGACACGACTGTCGAGCAGTTCGCTTCTCTGGCCGGCCGGACTAGCGGTCGTGCTCGGTCAGCAAGCAGTCATGCAAACACAATAGAGGCTGTTGGCATCGGGTTGTGCTCGTTTGTACAAACTCGTATATCAAATCACTGGGTGACACATAACCGTTAAATCGTTTGACGTGCACGATAGATGACTTCGCTGAAGCATACTCGGTGACCTGTGAGATTGCGGACCGGTCACGTATTGGACGGTCCAGTGGCGCCGGCTCTTTTCGGAGTCGGAACGGGGTCAGGAAAGGGGGCTGGGCCTGAGACTTGAGAGGTGCACTGTCGGGTCACGATACACATTGGTGACCCTGGCCTGATCGGTGCAGTAGACGGTTGGTGAGGTCTGACCTGTGCATGGTGTATTGCCGTGCCATGTAACTCTAGTGATCTGCTTGGTCCAATGCACATTTTGACAGTCCGTTATGGTACGGTACCCAGTGCAGCTGTGTATCGTGTAGGTGGGACTCTCCACATATACTGTGTCGGTGACGTGAAAGGGCTGACACGGCACTGACTCGACAGGTGCGGCGATGTGGTGCATTGTCAGCGCTAGCCGCTTATGTGTCAGATGAGAACGACAAATGGGGTTGGGGCAGGGAAACAAATGCTTCAGAGGGCAGTTTGAACAAGTGTGCCTTGGGGCCGCTAGTGGACTGTGCCGCTAGTGCACGAAGAAGTTTGGTGGGCAGGGTCGGGATTGGTTCTTAAAGTCGGCCGTGGTCACAGTAACGGACACGGTTGGTGCATGAACCAGGAAGCCAGCGGACCCTGCAACCCACAAATAGAGCCAAGCTGGAGAAGAGTCTACTGTTTGGTGTTGCTAGTTATTGCTGTGCATTGTCTACAGTGACGCTAGGCTTCTTTGTTTGTGTTTTTCCTATCATCGTGTTTAATCTGAGTATTGCACAATGCACAATGCGCACCACGCCTACATACCCGAAGAGTGCTCAGCATGGGTGACTCTTTGCTCTCCATTTGCCCTCAGCAGGGCTCATCTGACCTTCAACTTGAGACTTTACAGCAGGGTACGTCCGGAGCTGGCCAACTGACCTCTGACTGTGTCCCCCCCCCCCCACGGATACGTTCGGAGCTGTTCATCTGACTTATGGCTGTGTCTTTCCATCTGACCTCTAACTCTGCTTCTCCCGCAGAGTTCGTCCGGAGCTGGCCGTTCAGCTGAGCGTGTACGGCATGGTGCTCGGCGCCATCGTGGCTGCCTGGTGAGTCACCACACCCGTCTCTCGGGCACAGACAAGGAACCCTAGTCCAGACACTCCGGCATTCAGTAAATCGGCACTCGTATTTCGACATGCCTGACTCCAGACTTTCCAACCAGACTTTCCAAACTTTTCAAATACCACCGTCAAATGTCCACCGTCTATCTCACATATTGGCCCTGTCCGGATGACTCTAGCTTTGCTGTCCTGAATGCTAATTCTTCGATGTGTCACGGCTGTTTAGCCGATGTGGTCATTCGTACACACCCATAGCTGATTCGAGGCGCGCTCCCACTTTCTGGTGATTACGTCCCGTTAGCTGTCGGCCGTGTCTGCTGGGTGCTGAGTTGTGACCGTGAGATCACCGTGCTAGAGTGAATCACCGCGGTCGCTAAATGCTGACGCGGTGGAGATGTGCGACGTTTTTATTCATGGATATTGGTTTTAAGATGGTGGCTGCGGAAGTATGCTGTATGGCTATTGCAATAAGGGCCATCACTCATCCGGCCTCGTCATATTTTAATTTTACATTAAATTAAGAAGTATGGTAGTACAGCAGAACTTCTTATGCATATTTTTGCTTACCTGCTCTCCATCTTGGTAGAAATCATGGTTCATTCTCATCCTCTTCTGCCCGCCGCACTGCCGCAGTGTGTCACCCTTCTGCCGACCCGGTCTATCCGTCGCCGTATGCCACCACTCCCGCTGACCCTAACCCCCTCTCCCGGCAGCGCCGACCCGTCGTTTGACCTGATGGGCTACACGATGGTGTTCACCAACGATCTGTTCACGGCCGCCAACGGCGTCTACTCCAAACAGAAGCTGGAGGCGCGCGACCTGGGCAAGAACGGCCTGGCCTTCTACAACGCGCTCTTCATGATCGCACCGCTGTCGCTCGTCGCCTGGTGGCTCGGTCACTGGAATCTGGTACGGGGGCAGACGGGGTATGGGGTGGGGGAAGATCAGAGGGGTGATGGGTTGTGAGGGGATGGAGGAGAGATAGTGGATGTGGGAGAAGCAGAGATGAAGCGATAGGGATGTCAGAATGTGGAGATGGAGAAGGTAACGGGAGAACATCGGATGAGAGGAGGGCTAGGTGGCGATAGACAGGAGCGAGGATCAAGGGCAATGTAGGATGTCAGTTGGAAGCTTCATTGTGCTGATTTTCTCTGACATCACCAGTGCACATCCACTGCTGTCCACTGACCGGCCGTCGCAATCGACCAACCTCTGACCTCACTGACGCCCCGCGCTCTCCACCAGGTGTACGAGTTCGCCGGCTGGTCGGACGGCCGCTTCCAGTTCCACTTTCTCACATCGTGCGCCATGGGCACCGTGCTGATGTACACGACCATGCTGTGCACCCAGCACAACTCGGCGCTGGTCACCACAGTGATTGGCTGCATCAAGAACATCGCCATCACCTACTACGGCATGTGGTTCAACAGCGACTTCCAGGGCGGTCCGCTGGTCGTCGTCGGCCTGCACATCAGGTGGGTGGACGTTGGGAGGAATTGGGGGAGTGTAGACAGGCGGAACACTGGTTGCCTTGGGCGACGCAGATGTGGTTGGACGCGATAGGACGCGCTTCGATGGGTAGTGGATACACTATTGCTGATCTTGGGAGACTGAACAATGGAGGCTGCTCAGTGATGGCTGTACGATATGTGGGGCGTGTGTACCGGGCACTAGCCTTGTCTAACAGTGCGTCCAATGGGGACAGCCTTTGCTAAGCTGGCTATACGTAGTCACAGCAAACGTTATCCAATCCAGCTCAAAGTGCACAAAGATTTTGTGAGAATATTCGCTAGCTCGGTCTCCCGCAAGCCCTGACGTGTTATTCCTTTCGCAGCATATTCGCGAGCTGCTGGTTCGCCTACCTCAAGTTCAAATCGAAGCCGTCCGCCACTCTGCCCGTGGCCGTTCATCAGAATGGCAACCGCGTGGTCACTGCGTAGTGGTCAGCCCACAGCCTCTGCCGCCTCGAGCGGCGTGCCGTTCCCTACAGGAGCGCCGTCTGCCGCCGGGTTGAAACTGCCGCAGGGTCGCTGAGAAGGTCACAAAGGATGGTGTCTGGCCGGGGTGGAACGGGCGCGGCGGTGAATGCGCTACGGCCTCGGTGCTGAGAGGCTAGCTTGTCGAGGCTATGTCATCGAGACTAGCTCGTCGAGGCTAGCTCACAGAGTCTGGCTTGCCGAGGCTAGCCCGCTGAGGCTATCTCGCCAGTGTGTAAACTCTCTCGGCGGCGGCTAGCCAGGCTATGTGACCAGTTGGTTGTGCGTTTGTCAGGTCGGTGCAGACTACAGAGCCGGATACGAGAGTGGGCAGCGCGGCGCAATACGGTGCCCTGCTCCACCGATTCGGCTTGTTTGACCTGCCGAAGTGCTGGCTGAGACTGCTGGGCATTTCATGGTGTACTGACCTGTCAGTGGCGGGCACAAGGATCGCAGGGCTCGGCTGGCGGCGTGGTCAGATCGGAGCAGCGGGCCGTCGCCGTGCCCCAGCTGCAACCGAGCAGCGCGTTTTACGTCCGGTGTGTCTTGCGTCTGTGATCCGAGTAGATGTGTGCTGTGTGCTATTGTCACCTTTGGCCAGTGTGATCGTGGGCATTGATTCTTAATTTTCATCATCTCTGATGGCTCATCCTTCCCGATTTCGTGCACTCTTACTTCCTTCTTGATCTAGTCTCTTCTCGATCGCGGTTTTATCTCGTCTCCACATTTTCGCGTCACAAATATTTCGAAGGCAGCACGCGCAATAATTGCGCCGGAAACAGCATCACCTGTCCATTGTGCGTCTGTTATATGATATGACGGACGCCCCGCAGGCGACTTTCGTGCCATCTAGCGACAGGGTGGTGCATTTCAATTGGCTCTCGTGTGCAGGCGGCGTATTGGCCGATCGCATTACTGGTATGGATGTGCCTGCTCATTGACGTCCGTTATGGCTTTATCTGTGAATATTTTATTTGTTCAAATACATGTACATATGTACTGATGTATTTATAGCAATGCGTGCTGCTTGCAGGGTACCTAAACCTATAAGAGATTCAACTTAATGCAATATCAGATTGTGTTCCCTGAAACATTCAGAAATTGAACTTCGGCTGTAGGGTTCAGTACAGGTAGCCAGCATCGACGATCCAGGGCTGGGCGAAGTACCTGGAACGCCACCGATCTGTCCAATTTAACTCCACCTGCGATTATGTATAATGTGTCTGTCTACTTGGAAAGGGCCTTGTTGACATATCCATGGAAATGACGGACTTATGGGTCCGGAGACAGGCTCGATGCTCTCCGCGATTCGCGGCGATTGCACAGATTCCAGACACGGACGAATAGCGTGTGTGTTACCTTGTTGTCTTCGTGCTAGGGTTTTACAACCCAACTGTCTATCCAATTGAACACAAACCTCACAACCGTCTCCCCCCACCCTATCGATAACATGCACTCAAACAAAGTAAACAATGACATAGTTTATTTACACTATATGGAACAAAACTACAGCCACATGTACCAGTGGTCAAAATTCATGGTTCAAACCAGCCTTCATAAGTTCATCATTAGCGACATGAAAATAAACATCGTCCGCTTACACGCCAATGCCGTTCTAAGCTCGATCGCAAAGCTCGTAATGCTAACAGTGTATAAGCTCTCTGATACCAACGCGATGCTGGAAGAGATAGTCGAGTTTCAAAAGCGGCACTTTGAAGCTGACCGAGTGCAATGAGATTCAATAGTTTACATCAAAGCTGTCGCACTATGGGCCCCTCAAATATGGCACGTAACAGTTCACATTTGAAGGCACTTGTTTGAGCTATCGTTGCGCGTATGTGTTGTCATTTGTGTAACAGCATGTCTTTTAGCCGTCGCGCGAGTCTATTGACCCACGTAAGTCCCTCCGCTTGTCTTCAGTTTCTGTGAACAGCTATGAAAGTCACAAACCTGTGTTCGCGGTACTATGATGTAAATAATACCACTAAATTGAGTATTAACTAATATCGGCACAAGAACTACCCTTACATCATCCACAAAATGAACACACACCTAATTCAGATCATGATTCCACATCCCAACTCTTCCAACTGTGACCATGAACTACTACCACTGGCTTGACCTAACAGCTTCGATCCTAATTCTGTACTAAATATGTCTGTATCTAGCTCTGTAAGGGACGACAAACAAGCGAAGAACACATTATCTCGCCCAGCGAACCTCGTCTTATATCATTGCTGCATCGCATTGAGACTGAGTAAGCTCGTTCGGTTGTTGGCAGGTAAATAGCTGGATCAGGGCCTTCATCCTGAGTTCCCTGGATTCGCCTGGCTCCTCAGGAGCTATCCAGTGCTCCAGCCTGACTCACCATATTCGTTAACCATCGCGGGGCGTCGTCGAATTGTTGACCTCCCCTTGTCCTCGCGCTTCAATTTCAATTTCCTACAGGCTGGTGGACTTCTGCGTGGCCGTGATACCCTCGTGCTGGAGCCGCTTCAGCAGTGGCCGGAAGATTTCTGGCGTCAGCGGCAGCACCATGCCCTTGCCCTGGATCTCTCCGTTGAGCACCATCTGAGTGGCGATGGCGCACGGGTAGCCGACGGTACGTGCCATGGCTGAGAAGCCGTCCGGATGGCCGTACGTCACCAGGTTGATTCCGCGCCGCTCCAGCCGCTTGTCGGGCCACTCGATGTCGATCTCGTGACGCAGTACCACCAGGTCCCGCTCTCCGGCGCCGAAGCGCAGCCGCTCGGCCAGGTGATCACTGAGCGCGCGCAGCAGCGAGCCGCTCTTGTGAACGGGGGCGTCGCTGAGCAGGCCCAGCTTCTCCATGGCCTGGACACGCTGCTCGCTGCCGGCACGCTGCAGCAGCAGCAGCCGGAGGTTATCGTAGAACACGGAGCCCTCCTGGCCGAGCAGGGTGCAGAGCAGCTCGTACCAGGTGATGTCGGGACCGCCGGGGTGCACGGCCGGGTGAGAGTCGTCGCTGAGGAGACCGGTCTCCTGGAGACCCAGCACGGCCTCCGAGTAGCCGCAGTAGCGCAGAGTGCCGCGCAGGATTGTCTGGGCCTCCTGGATGCCGTACAGCTTGCCGTAGATGGTAGAGTCACGGTTGGCGAATCCCTCCAGCGCGAAGCCCGGCAAGAAGTCCATGCGCTGACAGGAGTGCAGCAGCTGGCCCGCCGGGATTTCCACCATCTTACCGTCCTTCAGGTACGAAGCGCCCTGCGAGCGAGGGGGAACACCACGAATCGGTACAAATAATGAACTGAACCGGCGTAAGCTTCGTGCGTATCGCTTCCCACGGCAAATCACTTATTAGGGTCACGGTCACTAAAGCCGATGGTTTAGTCCGAAATCCTAGCAGCAGCATTTAACAAATATGCATGTCTTATCACACGTAATCGTACATATCAGTAGTTTCGAACGATTCGCACATTTCAGTCTGCGGAAAGTGGCCTGTGTCATATGAGTTTCAAAGACAGATACCTTACCTGGGTTGTGTTGCGGAGGACACCGATCGGCGACCAGGAGAACTTGTACCTCAGGGCGTTATCGGAGCACTCGGGCGCCGGCAGGCCTCCGCAGTAGGAAACAAACGACTTCACCTTGCCTGTGAAACACACATTAGTTGTTAGGCTTCTCACCTCACCACCAGTTATTAGACTCGTTACTAAGTAAGCAATGTGTGGTTATTTTTACTTAATGTTGCACTGAAAGACCAGCTATAAATCCAAACTCGTTCTGCTGTCTGGACAGTTCTGAATAATTATTAATCGCCGAACCCTCGCTGACCTTTCCGCAGCAAAATGAAAGTTTTTTTTTTAAATAATATACTTGCATTCCAATGTTCGAGTCAAAGGCTACGACGCGGTACACTGACCATCTAACTTCCACTGCGGTACCCCCACCGCCTCACTGACCTCCGCCGTGGTGGACCTCGTCGAAGCACTCCATGGCCAGCAGGTGGTCGATGCCCGGGTCCAGGCCCACCTCGTTCACCACGGTTATGCCGGCGTCCTTAGCGGCCCCCTCCAGGGCGCGCATCTCGGGAGTACAGTACGAGGCCGTCACCAGGTCGGTCTTGTGCTGGATGCAGGCGCGCGCCACCACCGGGTGAAGCGAGTACGGCAGCAGCGACACCACCACGTCCGCGTCCTGCGCGACAGGAGGGTGGAATTCAGTCAGCATTGGTATTTGCAGTTTCGTAGCTTCTGTCTACATCAGCACCGCCGAAAACCACTGACATTTCCCCGACCTGAATGCCCTCTTCCCGAACTCAAAACTTCCCTTCATCTGTCCGACATCATCACTGAGCTTGTGACCCCGTCACTGACGACAACCCCCGACCTCAATACTGACCAAGAGACATTACCACTGACAACACCCCTCCCCGTTGACCTCCTGACCCCACCCCCTCCACTGACCTCCACCAGTCCGCTGAGGTGGTCGGGCCGCTCGGTCACGTTAAGCAGGGTTCCCACCGTGTTGTCGTACTTGGTGCTCAGTGCGTCCAACTCGTTCTGCACCGCCGACGCTGTCCATGAACATAAACGGATGTCACAACATGGATCGGTGATAAAACAGCTGCTAACAAGAAGATAGATAACTCAGAGCGATAACAGTACCTAAATATCAAAGCGACAAAAAGCGCAATTATAAATGAAATTTAAAATTGATAATTGATAATTGATATAATTGCGACAAAAATAGCGCAATTATAAAGGAAATTTAAAATTGATATATCAAAGATCGCAATACGATGTCCGATATTATCAGTCAACAGAAACAATCTGACAAAGCTTGAAAGCATTTGCTTCAAAACACGGAATATGCAACAGATACGAAGGATATTAATCATCAGACGTTAATCTCCCCTCCTCCCCCACCCCGCCGCCACTTACCCAGGTGGATGTGCGTCTTGGGGTCTCTCGACAGGTACTCGACCAGGGGCTCGGAGACGTACCCGGAGCCGATCACCAGCACCCGCTTATCGGCCGCCGCGTGAGCCATGGATGCCTTATGGCGCGACCTGCCGCGACCGGGCGCCAGGTCAGACTTCAGAGGCGGGGCTCACTGAGGTCAATGGCTCATCGTCTCACAGAGGACATCGGTTTCGCAAGGTCAGCTATACATTCATACGTGCAATGCGTTCTAGTCTTATATGTACATATAGGTAGGAGACCATAGTTTCAAAATTTTGGTGAAATAAGTCACTTTAAAGTTAATTAGACAAATATTTACAAGGACAGTCGCAACTAAAGGCTCTTAGAGTTAATTTGATTGTGTTTTGTTAAGTAGAATTATTAAGCCATTTTCAGGGTGAAGGCAGAGACCAATCATAAAATGAATATAGGGTACAGGATTCTTTCCAGCCGGTACCGACTCACCAGTCCGGTAAAGCAATTTCCTAGCGGCCACTCGTGTCACCCACCACAGTCAAACCTACTGCTCAGGGGACAGCACAGTTGGCACGCGGGCCTACCATTGGGTGCCAAGGCTACCGGTGACGTCACAAGAAATCGTCCAATCGGGGCGGCCTGGTGGCAGCAGTGCCCATGTTTATTTACAAAGGATGCTCGGTTTAATTGGGCCTTAGATATTAGACATCTGCGCAAGCCTGAGACGGCTTTCATTCATGATGAAGTATAAAGCGCGGCGACTGTCGTTCGCTTTCATATCGAGGATTTTGTAAAAGGCAGCGACCGAATTAATTGATATTTTTTTAATGAGCCCGGCCTATGTAGTATGTCCGTCTTTAAAGTCCAAGGTATAAACATACAGAAGTGCAACTTTCGCTGAACTATGCTGGGATGGTTGCATACTGATCTCGCAAACAAACACATAAAACAGTACAAAGTACAAAAAATTATATACCGCTCATTCATTCATGGTGTCTCATCGCGGTAATGCTCCCTGAGATGCCATCGAACTGCGCGAGGCACATGCATGCATTCAACTCAAATTTTACGACACACCGGGAAATCGGCCAATCGATTTTAGGAGACGGGCTTTGGGAACTACTCACTAATTTCTTCGGCCTCATCTTTAAGAAAACTACGGTGCATTAGAAAAAAAAACGTGCTTCTTACCGGTATTTTTATAAGATAAGAGCTGCATGTAAAATTGAGATCGCATGGTAAACAAAACATTCGCATGGTAAACAAAACATTTCATCAGGCACGTTAACCTTACGGTGAATCGTCATTAACTCCTTCCAGAAGGTACATACAAGGGACTATCACTACAAAGAAGGGAAGCTCGACAGGGGACCAACATGGACACCTGGTTACGAAGAATAGTGCCGGCTTTGTCCACAAAGCGGCCATTGCGACTTAACCAGGCGCATAACGGACAAAGGAAACTAATAGCGTTTAAACGTGCACAAGGCTACTACGAGGTGGTCATTTTACCAAGAAGATATCGGCATCTCTGTGCCATTCTTACCCCCTGCAAAAGTAGGAACAGTACTTCAAACATTGCCTTAAACGTATTCGTAAGATATGTAAATGCAAAACATTAACAAATTTACCGTCCCTCAAGCCCACCAACATTAGGCATATGTAGCCGGGAGTTGTCTACCGAGCGACCCACCTGCTTCCCCTTCGCAGTTCGTCGATGTACTCAAAGTTGGGAGTCAGCTTTCCATTGCTGGCGATCACGGCCTGCGGATAAGGGTTGAATATTTAAATACAGAAAATAAACAGAATTGTATAACATTGACAATGACGGGCACGAAGAGATTCATTATGCTACGTAGCGTCATAATATCGAATGTATCAAATATTTACGCACGCCCTTGTTGACGGGGTTGAAGGGCTGCTGCTCGAAGGGCCGGTCGGCGTTCGACTGCAGGATGTTGTACACGTAGGGGAAGAGCAGGTTGCCGAAGAAGTCGGTGGCCTCGCGCGGCAGCTGGGTGGGCATGTTGTCGATACTGCAGACCAGCACACCGGGACCGCGGAAACTGGAACAACCAGAAGGGAATGTCAGAACGGAGGCTAATGTGGTGTCAGGGAGAGATCATGGGCGGCAAACGTTTGGACATAGGGTAAAAGGCGCAAACCGGTACCACTAGATCAGGCCTATGGTGAAGCAATGGGTAGTGTGAAAGGAAACATGGATTGGAGGTACATTCCACGTCATTTTTTACCGGTGGTAAAAATGAACGTAGAGATTACACTTATCAAAGAACGCCCAGCGAACGTAACTTATCAGTCCTTGATCCAATAAGCAAAGCTCCTTCGTGGCCCATTATGTCATCTGGCTCCCAACTCCTTATCCCGGCATGACGTGCCCCCTCTCTACACGACTTCTGCCGTTGGGCATAACATCCGTACCTGTTCTTATCCTTGTGCTGGTCGGCGTCGTACAGACAAAACGGCGAGTCGATGGTCGTGCACTCGGTCATCATCTCCAGAGAGCCGCCCGGATCGGCGCTGATGTCACAGATGGCGATCATACGGTGCGGCAGACGCGGCGAGCCTGTGGCAGACGGTCAGCGCACGGTCAGCGCTGAAGACACCTGATTCGTTCGGCACCAAGGGCACCTTTGTCGCGTGTCGCGACCTGACTGGACTAACGAAAGCGAATTTGGACTTATTCAAGAAATACAATACCTAATTGGTCGCAAAGAATATGCACGAGGCAGCCATGTATGATTGACAAACAGTGCGCTTGTATCATCACATAAGCCTCGGTTTGAGGAAGCTAGGGCTGAATCAGCCCTGCGTCAATCACAATGACGGACCGTGTGTTTGGGGTCCACATTACCCTCAGTCTGCGGTAGCCAGGTTTGGTTGACGGACTGTGTGTGTTTGGGTGTTAGTGCGTTCGTTACCCTCAGTCTGGGGTAGCCCGGGCTGGCTGTCTGCATTTGTGCCTTACATTACCTTCGGTCTGCGGGAGCCAGGGCTGGTTGACGGGCTGCAGGAGTCGTTTGGCGTCCGGTAGGGTCAGCAGTTTGGGCGAGTTCGGATCCCAGTAGATACCGTTTACCAGACAGGAGACGTTGGGACCGATCTGTGGAGCAGACGCATAACAAAATGACGTGCTCAATCAACATAATAATTCACACAAAAGCCGCGATATTATCGATTTATTGTAAACGTTATTACGATCTTCGTTCACGTGAGGTAAAAGGAACTTAATGTGTGATATTTGACGGAAACAATCACTGCTACTCTAGATTTCTAGCACTTCTCAGACCAATTGTTTGCTTATATGACATTGAATAGCGAAAAGAAAATCTCACCACCAATGAAAGGACGTTTACAACTAACTAGCGCATTTATTTCCCGATACAAGCAGCGCTCTACGTCATTTGGTTTTACAATAAACCAAATGGCCTCGCGGGGTGACCGACATTCTCACAGAGACGAACGGCAGCCGTTACCTTTGTGGCGAAAGTGGAGATGTACCTCTCGGGGTGCTCCTCGTACTCCTCAGCGTTGTAGCCGCCGCCGTCCCGACGCTCCAGGTAGTCGGGACGCGACACCTCGCAACAGTACACCTTGTTTTGCGCTGAAAACGACGGGGAATTTGCCAGGAGTTGGGTGCTGACAGCCAGTATGAGCGGAACGCGTTTACAAAATTAACACAAAACAAAAAGAAAAACTATACGTAAAAGCAAAAAAAGCAAACAAACAAGCAAACAAACAAGCTTCTTCCCGGCACGGTCCACTTGTCTCCGACTCACCTCCGTGCTCTGCCACCTTCTGGAGCATATCGGGCGACACATACTCGTGGGGCAGCTCCTGAATGATCTCCTGAGCTCCCTGAGACACGTTCCCTGAGCCGGTGAACACGAAGGTCAGCGCGCCCAGCGAGCGGGGCAGCATGCCCAGAGCGATCTCGTAGCCGGCGTCCCGCACCGCCTGACGCGCCATCTCAGAGTTGCGGTAGTTGTGGGCCGGACCGATGTGCTGTGGAGAGGAAGATTTTACTGTAGACGTGTGGAGAGGACGCAAAATTCGGCGGTTTGTTGCACTGAGTTGGACCAGCAGGGCCGTGTGCATGGTGATTGGTGACTGGTGATGCCAGATGAAGCAAAAGATAGGCTTGCTCGAACCTCGATAGAGCATGCAAAACAGCAGCGTGGTAAAAATTGTGTGCACGTCTGCAATGTGCGCAAGCAGAGATGCTGCATAAATCAATCTCCGAAAAAGTTGCCAACAACAATAACCGATAATTTCATCACGACAGTAACAAGTGAACACATTACCATGCAGCAATCAAGCACATCATATACCACTAAGCAGCCTAGCGCCTCAACTCACCATGAATGGAGTGTGATGACCGAGCGCCAGCAGCCGCAGTCCCATGCCGTGCATGATGTTGATCATGCCGGCCACACCGGCGTACTTTCCGAACGCCACCACTCGCTGGCCGCGCTCGTCGCACATTCGCTCGTAGTCCAGCAGGCGGATGTTCTGGGGGAAGAGATGTTGGGATTAGATTGATGGATGTACCAGGCACGTGGCGGCCAGTGGGCGGCGGATATCCAGTTCAACACTGTGGATCTCCGTGTCCTATTTGGTGATGACCGTCAGCACGATATAACAATTGATCTTGCAATTATCAACATTGCTTCTGAAATAGCCCTGGATCAGACGTCAATATCTAGTGCCCATTCAGACGTCAACTTAAGCCAATAATCATACGAATGAGACCGAGCGTTGACAAACTGTCGCCGGTTCAGAACGTCCATGCATCACACATTGCACAATACAAAACAGTCATAACACGTAAATGCGTCACACGTACGAGCTATGATTCAGCCTAGACAGCCGGGATAACTCCATCATCCAAGCACCCAGCGCCCCTTCTACGCACTTGCCGTTCATTCTGTGGAATCTCTGACAGGGTTCCTGGCACACAGACACGTTGCCAGATGTCAACACTTCCTGTTGCAGCCAGCAGTGTCCCCCCCCCCCCACACACACCCCCCAACGCTGCGCAGACCGAGAGTGCGTTGCGAGCGTTGGCCCCTGCTCAGCACCCTTCGGGGGGGGGGGGTCATTGGACTCGTAATGGCACGAGAAGTCGCGCGAACGGCTGCTGCGTAGTGCGTAATATGCGCCCTTGGCTGCGTAGTGAAACGTAACACGCCAGTTCCTGGGAACTTTAGACGCTGGAATGAGCGGAAGATGATGTAATGGAAAAACTTCAAGTGTAATGAGACTACTCGTATAAATGTTTATGAACTGATGTTGGAAAGATTCCACGCGTCGGACAGTCGAGATGCAGTACAACCCGTCTGCAATATCAGTGGCTTATTGCTCACGAGCTTTGAGCTCATTAGCCCAAATTCGAAGCAGTAGGAATAATTATTTCCATGAGCGAAGTCGACCGACTCTCCTCGGGCTCCACGAGCAAGGGAGCCAGTTGCAGTGGCCCAAAAAAGGAAGGACCGAATATTTTACTCCGGACCGAAAGGACCAAAACCGTCTTTTCTCATGGACTTTGTAATTCCTCGTAGCATCGGCGAGCCAGTGATCCGCCACTGTAGCGGAACGGGTAAGTGCGCCGCCCGGTGTCGAGGACGACGCACCAGCGGCACTTGGCGACGAGCCAGTGACGTACGCGGCGCGCTGGCTGCCAACAGGTCACCGCCAGCCGTCTGGGGCGGCCTCAGAGGGCCCGAAGGAGGGGAGGAGGGTCTCTGGGTCAGGGCCGAGAGCTAGAACCACAGTCGAGGCCAGCAGGACACAGAGGATGTTTGGCGCTGACAACTGACATTGACCACTGCTGGTGACTTCACCAGAGAGTGAACGAAAAACTGGGTGGCTTGGAATATGGAACAACACTCAACAGACACTGAACACTAAAAATGTCACATAAACGACGGCGATCCTTGGTAGATTAAAAAAGCAGAGGTACGTTGTCTTATTACATTTTATATCAATTTAGTTCATACGCTCCAAATGAATGGACTGCTAATGCCAGCAAGTATCAACAGCGTAAAGGACCCGAGAGCGCTGTTTATAACTCAGATATACATAGTTACAGAAGTCCTGAGCTCAACCGATTTGCATAGTCCGAATCTTCCGTCCGTTCATGAAATGACGGGTAGGTAGCCCAATATAATTTTAAGAAGCAGTAAACGGCTAGCGATTGTGCGTACGATATTTTGAACAATTTTCTTCACATCGACCTTAAATCTTTCTCATCATCACGGACCTGACTATGGAAAAACGTACACATTCGAGATTCAAGGTCAGTCATTAGAGAAGAACTCTCCTGGTCCTGGGAAATGGAAACTTGGCACCAAACTCCTTTGGCTCGTTTCAGCTGGCGCCTGCCAGGCGCGAGGGTCTAATGGGGTGTCTGCCCAGAGTCCATCCCATGGCCAGCGTGCAGCGGTCAAGGGAACGCTAAATAGAACGGAACACGGAAAACAAACCGTCCCAAAAATTACGAATGGAGCGGTTGTTGGGGTGGACCGAACCGCAGCAATGTCGTTTGTCGGGTCCCCATCTTGCCATGAAATGTCGCTCGAGGTCGAATCATGCTATTATCATATTTACAATCGAAATATCGTATCCAATCATCGAAATCATCGTATTTCCCGTCCCCTACAAGGTATTTAATTTCACAACATACGCATTACAAAACGGTAAGCGCTCAATGAACCCGCCAACACCGTCTGACCGAGGCTCGTGCACACTCACCTTCTCTAGAATGGCATCCAGCAGCGGCATGTTGGCCTCCTGCGCCTTGATGGTGTGTGAGAAGAAGCAGTACGTCTTGTTGGGGATGAGCGCGTCAATGGGCACCTGTTTGACGCCCATGATGACTGAGGCCTCGCCGATGTCCTCCTTGATCTGGGCGCCGGCGTTGATGTAGGCCTGTGGGCATGTAGGGGTGGTAAGAGCGGTACTAACTCGGCTTTCGTTGAGTACGCAGGCGTCGATCAGCCGAAGATCGTATTAGATGTGAAATATGCATGTTCAGAGACTCAAACAATGTTCATCGACCTACGACCAACACATTTGTACGCTAATACAATATTTCTTTTGAAGAAATGGAAAAAAACATTCACCTTACGTCTTCATCGTATATAAATAGACGAGTGCTATAGTGAATGAGCGAATAAATTACAGTGATATATTTCGAAGGTGCTAAATGTAACAGTGGTCAATTTATGACCGTAGCTTTCTCATTTTCGAAGGCTCCGCAGCGGCAAGGCATGTCTCATCCATGGCCGACACCAGACATCTCCATTCAGGGAAACCGTCCCGAAAGCGTCGTGTAAACACAGGACGCGGCGCATGGGAGCAGCTGGGGAGGGGAGGGGAGGGGACGGAGACCCTCTGGCGCTCGTCGGACACATCTTCCCGTCCCTGGGGCGTCTGCGCGCGTCGGACACATGGCAACAGACAGACGGCGGACACGGGCGTCGTCAGACGAGCCGACACCGGAGACGGACGCTCGGGGTCGGTTGGACGGGTGTTGACGGTGGCTCGAGGTCAGTTGGGGTTGTATGGCACGGCAGTGAAACGGTGGCGGTAAACAGGGAGGCTGACCGCAGGATGGAGTGCTCTGTAGCCTGCAGATTCAGGGCCAAGGCCAATGAAAACGCAGCCCACGGCCTTGACGAAAAATGTTGTGCAAACACACATACAAACAATTAAAATTGGTTATAAAAAATGACGACTTTTCGACGGAACACAAACTGAGCCAAATTAAATCAAGTGCGACGGGAAAAGGGAGTCTGGCTCAATTTTCACGATAGTGGCCCTACTACCCACCATAGACCTCTACATACCCACACAAGGGGGGCGACCCGTTTGCCACCCCAGGCCGCCTCACGCAGCCCTCTTACGGAGGAAATTGGGATGAGGCATATCGCATGTAAAATAGTCACCATGCGATATGGTATGGGGCCGCTGAGGCATATCATATCGCATCTACATATATTCATCACCCCATCGATCGAGACGTGCCCACCTTGGCCCCGTCCATGAGCGGCCTAGCGACCGCTGTGTTGGCGGGCTAATGTCGCCGCTGCCTATTTTTGCTATCCGAGGCTAGAACCCCCTCTGCTGATCGCGGTCCGGCGCCCGCCCTGGCCAGGGGCCATGGCGCCGGGCCCGCTCAGTCCCGCCCACAAATAGCAGCGCGCTGATTGGTCGACGCCGGGGGTGGCGGCCGTGACGTCACCGACCGTCGCCGGTTCGTTGATATGGGGACGGGAGCCGGAGCCGCCGGCGTGAGTTTGGGGTATAAACCGAATACCAGCCGGTAGCGCTGACTGTCCTGCTGACCTCTACCTGAGAAGGAAGACTCTGCTGACGCCTGACTGACTTGCTGACTTCTACTTGAGAAAGAAGACTCTGCTGACTGTCTTGCTGACTTCTACCAGAGGAAGCAGTCTAAGTTGACGTGCCCCACTTGCAGGACACACTTCAGAGATGGATATTTTACTTTTTGCGGAAGTGGCGCTGCCTCGCGTGGTTGTCAAATAAACACAACCTCGAGAACAGACATTGAGCACACCATGAACTTTGTCATTTGTAAATGACATAAAACTCGCCATTCAATGTCCTTTGATGTTTCAGACGTGCCCTGTTTCAGACCATACCGCGTGTAGGAATTTTCCATCGCGGCATTATAACACCAACAATCAATAAACATGCTCCGACAAATGACCCGTTTCTAAAAAGCTCACCACAAAAAAAAACAGACGGCTACGCTAATAATTATCATAATGATGTTTATCCATTGGGGGGAAGGAGGTTTACGCTGGATCCAGATCCAGCAAACCCTTCCACTGCCCGCACGCTGCCTCCTCGTCTCTCCGTACTCTCACGTAGACTACCCAGGACCGAGCGTCGGGCTCAAGACCACCCGATTCCGCACCCACCTGCATGGGATAAGCTCGCCGATTGCTGGGCTGGACCAGCACCCGTGCGCCATCCTTGACCAGCTTCCGGACGTGGTGCGGCGCGAGCGGCGCCCTGCGCTCCCAGACGGACTGGTCCTCTCGCCGGATGGCCAGCACCTTGCCGCGAATACTGTCATCCTGCCGGGCAGCGGGCGTACTGTGATCCTACGGACAAAGAGCACAGAGAACAGGTCACACAACAGGAATAAGAGCAGATCAAACAGTGTGCGGGTCCTTGAGTCTAGGGCTTGAGCCACACTAGCGGATGGACAGTTTTTTTATCTAGTGTGAGTGGTATCATTGGAGTAGTCAAATCTAACAATCTTCGTTTATTTCATGCAACGCCAGAAAAGTTACAAATGTAAGCCTCTCGGCTATCCCATGCACCTCCCATACCCCCCCCCCCCACTCCCTAAAAAGTTCATCGCTCCTCAAGAAATTCACGATATTACGCTCTAAACCGTCTCGGGCTCTCAAGAGGACGTTCGCAAAGCACCAGTTACATGCATTTAAAGCATTGCAATTTGCCCCAAGCATTACATTATTGAGAACGAATCCCGAGTTAAAGGCCAGGGCGGGAGACGGGAACTTGACTAAAAAAATGAGTACTTGTTTACGTTTCCCAACTCAGTTGAATTGAAATCATACCTTCTACCTCGTTTCCTGGCCTCCGGATTCAATCCTTATCCATTGGTTTCCTCGCCTCCCGATCCCAACCAGGCTTTCCTGACATCCCGATCCAGCAGTCTGGACCCAGCCCCCGATTTTCCTCAGTACCCTCAGGGCTGGGACTTTACTCACGGAGAAGGCGCGTGCCCCGGAGGTGCTGTTGAGGTATCTCCGGTAGACGGCCGGCACCGACTTCCTGAGGAGAGTCATGGCTGGGACGACTGGTCCCTGCCCTGGTGGTAAACACACATTAGAGGTCAGGTCACTGGTCACTGACCTTGTCCTGAGAGTAGTCAGTAGAGAAGGGTCAGGTCAGAGGTCAGGTCACAGAGCCATGTCCTGATGGCACATACGGGTCAGGTCCGAGGTCACTGTAAGTGGTGATTCGGGCCACCCCTGGCATGGTCCCTGGCAGTAGCGGCGGAACACCTTCAACCAAAGGGGGGGGGGGGCACTGCCGACTTTTGGTCCCATTCTTTCCATGCAACGCTCATAGGGCTAATGTTAAAATGCCAAAATCAAAGGGCGGCACGGTGCCCCGGTGCCCTCCCCGTTCCGTCGCATATGGTCCCTGGCTCTGGAATCCGACCACTTCACATAGAGATACCTACGCTCGCTGCGAGACGGCCAGGATTGCGTAACACCGCCGTCTTCTGGGCATTGCTAGATTGTGGATATGTAAACAGAGAGTGGGACGCGGTGGAGGAAGGCATCTGGTCTGGTCTGGACGCCGGCCATGTGCGCTGTGCCGCGCCGGGACGTCTCTGACATAGTATGACCGAAAGATACGCCGGGACGTTTCTGGGCTCGCCGCTCGGTCCCGGCCAAAGATACGCCTGGATCAAGTCAGCAGCAGTCCCTGGTTACAGACAAGAGGGGTTACAGATAACCCGGAACACCTTTCTCCCACTCCAGCATTTTAAATTTATTTTACACCGGGGCATATCGTCCCGAGCACGGGACGTTCACTGGAATGTCCCAGTCCGATTCGCCAGGACGCTTCTGTCTCGTTGTGATCGGGACTCATGCATACCGATTACGGATACACACGGGAACGTCTCTGTCCCTCTGTCTCACAAATTGAAATGACAAATACGCTGAGGAATGGGGATGCCGTGTCCCAGTCCAATGATACCCACACCGGGACGTTCATGTTCCACTCCCAAAGACGGACACACCGACACGTACGAACATTTGACGTCCCATGGCAGGTCAAAGGAGTCTGTAATGTTCCGAACACTCTAGACAGCGCTGGGGTGCGCGAGCACTCATGTGCGTTAGCTTATGCGCAGTGTGTGACGGGCATGCAACTGTCGGGAGCCTGAGGCCCACCTGGGGCACCAGAAGCTCACCCTCGCAGAGGCCCGACAGTTCGCGGATACCGTGCCGTCACCCGGACCGTGCCCCAGAGCAATGCATCCCTTTCTGTAGTCATAAAAGGAGAATGGGAGCAACTGCAACCCCAAATCCCTTGGGGAACGGGACGGGGGCCCCCGAGCTCCGGGGCCCTGGTCAAGTAAGAAGATAAAAAAAACAGCAAATGCACTAGCCTGGAGATCTTCACACGGCATCCGTCTGAAGTAAATGCAGCAGCCAGCAGAGCATACCACAATGGATCACTACCTATTTAGTACTCAAAGCCATTGACGTCTTTTTTAGGTCAATGCTCAAAGCAGTGACACCCGCACAAATAAACGCTAATTAATCATCTCTTTTGCGATTTGATGTTTATTATTGCTTACATCTGAAAATGGCAGGGCCAATCAATCGAATTTGAAGAAGCACGTCAGTCGCCATGACTCAGTTCTTGTCCCACATGCGGCACTTACCCCAGTCAGCGCGTTGACCCTTTACGAGTCCTCCGTTTACGTCGGTGACCCTCCCCGTCCGAATCTGGCCGCCAACTGAGCTAGTCGCCGGCGGCCCGTGCCCTTCCGCCGCGACGCCTCAGGGGGAGGCGAGGGGCGGGGTAGGGGACAGCTGGCCACCAGCCGCGCCGGGGCGCATCGCGCCCCCATGCCACGTGACCTGTCAGTGTGAGAGGGGATGGGAGCAGTAAGGGGAAAGTCAGGCATGGGAATGGGAGATCTACGAACCGAGAGGCGAGATACCCATGGAGCATGGGGAGCATGTGATGGGCATGCGACCTACCGGGATGCGTGTGTGGGAACTCGTAGGCGTACGTTACGAAAATTAGCGAAGAAACCAGCAAAAACAGTTAAAGGGACCCTCCCACCTTCAAAAAAGTTTGTGAATTGGCATGAAAGTGATGTCGCTCGGTTCAGAAAGAGCGAAAACGAATATCTACCAAATTTCACCGAAAAATATTCACCGGTTTGCAAGATATTAGACTTTTACTTTTGTTTACTTTTTTGGGATCTCCGCTGTTTCTGGCATGTCCGTGAAGTTAGCGTCAGCAACAGCAACGAATACAGCGTCGGATTCAGAATCGCTTAAAAAACTCATATTAGGTCAATTGGGGGACGGGGAGCAAGAATATGACCTTTATTTGGCCCTAGCTCTTACCCCTTACCCCTTAATCGGCCCTTAAAGGAAGGGGCGCGTCAAAAGTGCCTCAAGGAATCGTCTGATCGCCTAAATAAGGGTCGCAATCGATTCCCCGGGTCAATATCTAGCCGCAGCCTCGGGTTCCAGATGTGTGCAACTTACCCCTTACCCCTTAATCGGCCCTTAAAGGACGGGGCGCGTCAAAAGTGCCTCAAGGGTTCGTCTGATCGCCAAAATAAAGGTCGTAATCGATTCCCCGGGTCAATATCTAGCCGCAGCCTCGGGTTCCAGATGTGTGCAACTTACCCCTTACCCCTTAATCGGCCCTCAAAGGAAGGGGCGCGTCAAAAGTGCCTCAAGGGTTCGTCTGATCGCCAAAATAAGGGTCGCAATCGATTCCCCGGGTCAATATCTAGCCGCAGCCTCGGGTTCCAGATGTGTGCAACTTACCCCTTACCCCTAAATCGGCCCTTAAAGGAAGGGGCGCGTCAAAAGTGCCTCAAGCGTTCGTCTGATCGCCAAAATAAGGGTCGCAATCGATTCCCCGGGTCAATATCTAGCCGCAGCCTCGGGTTCCAGATGTGTGCAACTTACCCCTTACCCCTTAATCGGCCCTTAAAGGACGGGGCGCGTCAAAAGTGCCTCAAGGGTTCGTCCGATCGCCAAAATAAGGGTCGCAATCGATTCCCCGGGTCAATATCTAGCCGCAGCCTCGGGTTCCAGATGTGTGCAACTTACCCTTTACCCCTTAATCGGCCCTTAAAGGACGGGGCGCGTCAAAAGTGCCTCAAGGGTTCGTCTGATTGCCAAAATAAGGGTCGCAATCGATTCCCCGGGTCAATATCTAGCCGCAGCCTCGGGTTCCAGATGTGTGCAACTTACCCCTTACCCCTTAATCGGCCCTTAAAGGACGGGGCGCGTCAAAAGTGCCTCAAGGGTTCGTCTGATCGCCAAAATAAGGGTCGCAATCGATTCCTCGGGTCAATATCTAGCCGCAGCCTTGGGTTCCAGATGTGTGCAACTTACCCCTTACCCCTTAATCGGCCCTTAAAGGACGGGGCGCGTCAAAAGTGCCTCAAGGGTTCGTCTGATCGCCAAAATAAGGGTCGCAATCGATTCCTCGGGTCAATATCTAGCCGCAGCCTCGGGTTCCAGATGTGTGCAACTTACCCCTTACCCCTTAATCGGCCCTTAAAGGAAGGGGCGCGTCAAAAGTGCCTCAAGGGTTCGTCTGATCGCCAAAATAATTGTCGCAATCGATTCCCCGGGTCAATATCTAGCCGCAGTCTCGGGTTCCAGATGTGTGCAACTTACCCCTTACCCCTTAATCGGCCCTTAAAGGACGGGGCGCGTCAAAAGTGCCTCAAGGGTTCGTCTGATCGCCAAAATAAGGGTCGCAATCGATTCCCCGGGTCAATATCTAGCCGCAGCCTTGGGTTCCAGATGTGTGCAACTTACCCCTTACCCCTTAATCGGCCCTTAAAGGAAGGGGCGCGTCAAAACTGCCTCAAGGGTTCGTCTGATCGCCAAAATAAGGGTCGAAATCGATTCCCCGGGTCAATATCTAGCCGCAGCCTCGGGTTCCAGATGTGTGCAACTTACCCTTTACCCCCTAATCGGCCCTTAAAGGACGGGGCGCGTCAAAAGTGCCTCAAGGGTTCGTCTGATCGCCAAAATAAGGGTCGCAATCGATTCCCCGGGTCAATATCTAGCCGCAGCCTCGGGTTCCAGATGTGTGCAACTTACCCCTTACCCCTTAATCGGCCCTTAAAGGACGGGGCGCGTCAAAAGTGCCTCAAGGGTTCGTCCGATCGCCAAAATAAGGGTCGCAATCGATTCCCCGGGTCAATATCTAGCCGCAGCCTCGGGTTCCAGATGTGTGCAACTTACCCTTTACCCCTTAATCGGCCCTTAAAGGACGGGGCGCGTCAAAAGTGCCTCAAGGGTTCGTCTGATTGCCAAAATAAGGGTCGCAATCGATTCCCCGGGTCAATATCTAGCCGCAGCCTCGGGTTCCAGATGTGTGCAACTTACCCCTTACCCCTTAATCGGCCCTTAAAGGACGGGGCGCGTCAAAAGTGCCTCAAGGGTTCGTCTGATCGCCAAAATAAGGGTCGCAATCGATTCCTCGGGTCAATATCTAGCCGCAGCCTCGGGTTCCAGATGTGTGCAACTTACCCCTTACCCCTTAATCGGCCCTTAAAGGAAGGGGCGCGTCAAAAGTGCCTCAAGGGTTCGTCTGATCGCCAAAATAATTGTCGCAATCGATTCCCCGGGTCAATATCTAGCCGCAGTCTCGGGTTCCAGATGTGTGCAACTTACCCCTTACCCCTTAATCGGCCCTTAAAGGACGGGGCGCGTCAAAAGTGCCTCAAGGGTTCGTCTGATCGCCAAAATAAGGGTCGCAATCGATTCCTCGGGTCAATATCTAGCCGCAGCCTCGGGTTCCAGATGTGTGCAACTTACCCCTTACCCCTTAATCGGCCCTTAAAGGAAGAGGCGCGTCAAAAGTGCCTCAAGGGTTCGTCTGATCGCCAAAATAATTGTCGCAATCGATTCCCCGGGTCAATATCTAGCCGCAGCCTCGGGTTCCAGATGTGTGCAACTTACCCCTTACCCCTTAATCGGCCCTTAAAGGACGGGGCGCGTCAAAAGTGCCTCAAGGGTTCGTCTGATCGCCAAAATAAGGGTCGCAATCGATTCCCCGGGTCAATATCTAGCCGCAGCCTCGGGTTCCAGATGTGTGCAACTTACCCCTTGCCCCTTAATCGGCCCTTAAAGGAAGGGGTGCGTCAAAAGTGCCTCAAGGGTTCGTCTGATCGCCAAAATAAGGGTCGCAATCGATTCCTCGGGTCAATATCTAGACGCAGTCTCGGGTTCCAGATGTGTGCAACTTACCCCTTACCCCTTAATCGGCCCTTAAAGGACGGGGCGCGTCAAAAGTGCCTCAAGGGTTCGTCTGATCGCCAAAATAAGGGTTGCAATCGATTCCTCGGGTCAATATCTAGCCGCAGACTCGGGTTCCAGATGTGTGCAACTTACCCCTTACCCCTTAATCGGCCCTTAAAGGACGGGGCGCGTCAAAAGTGCTTCAAGGGTTCGTCTGATCGCCAAAATAAGGGTCGCAATCGATTCCTCGGGTCAATATCTAGCCGCAGCCTCGGGTTCCATATGTGTGCAACTTACCACTTACCCCTTAATCGGCCCTTAAAGGACGGGGCGCGTCAAAAGTGCCTCAAGGGTTCGTCTGATCGCCAAAATAAGGGTCGCAATCGATTCCCCGGGTCAATATCTAGCCGCAGCCTCGGGTTCCAGATGTGTGCAACTTACCCCTTACCCCTTAATCGGCCCTTAAAGGACGGGGCGCGTCAAAAGTGCCTCAAGGGTTCGTCTGATCGCCAAAATAAGGGTCGCAATCGATTCCCCGGGTCAATATCTAGCCGAAGCGTCGGGTTCCAGATGTGTGCAACTTACCCCTTACCCCTTAATCGGCCCTTAAAGGAAGGGGCGCGTCAAAAGTGCCTCAAGGGATCGTCTGATCGCCAAAATAAGGGTCGCAATCGATTCCCCGGGTCAATATCTAGCCGCAGCCTCGGGTTCCAGATGTGTGCAACTTACCCCTTACCCCTTAATCGACCCTTAAAGGACGGGGCGCGTCAAAAGTGCCTCAAGGGTTCGTCTGATCGCCAAAATAAGGGTCGCAATCGATTCCTCGGGTCAATATCTAGCCGCAGCCTCGGGTTCCAGATGTGTGCAACTTACCCCTTACCCCTTAATCGGCCCTTAAAGGAAGGGGCGCGTCAAAAGTGCCTCAAGGGTTCGTCTGATCTCCAAAATAAGGGTCGCAATCGATTCCCCGGGTCAATATCTAGCCGCAGCCTCGGGTTCCAGATGTGTGCAACTTACCCCTTACCCCTTAATCGGCCCTTAAAGGACGGGGCGCGTCAAAAGTGCCTCAAGGGTTCGTCTGATCGCCAAAATAAGGGTCGCAATCGATTCCCCGGGTCAATATCTAGCCGAAGCGTCGGGTTCCAGATGTGTGCAACTTACCCCTTACCCCTTAATCGGCCCTTAAAGGAAGGGGCGCGTCAAAAGTGCCTCAAGGGATCGTCTGATCGCCAAAATAAGGGTCGCAATCGATTCCCCGGGTCAATATCTAGCCGCAGCCTCGGGTTCCAGATGTGTGCAACTTACCCCTTACCCCTTAATCGGCCCTTAAAGGACGGGGCGAGTCAAAAGTGCCTCAAGGGTTCGTCTGATCGCCAAAATAAAAAAATACTTTAGCGATCAGACGAACCCTTGAGGCACTTTTGACGCGCCCCTTCCTTTAAGGGCCGATTAAGGGGTAAGGGGTAAGTTGCACACATCTGAATCCGAGGCTGCGGCTAGAAATTGACCCGGGGAATCGATTGCGACCTTTATTTTGGCGATCAGACGAACCCTTGAGGCACTTTTGACGCGCCCCTTCCTTTAAGGGCCGATTTAGGGGTAAGGGGTAAGTTGCACACATCTGGAAGCCG